TATACTAGTAGTGAGTTGGTTGAAGAACGAAGCCACGTACAAAAGTATAATCGATTACAACAGTTTTGGGGCCGATATTCATAGAATAAAGGTTTTAAATAAAATATTCACTTCTACTTTCAAAAGGACTGGCCCATTTGCTTTAAAAAAATTGTAGAGAGTTATTATTATGTATTATATACCTCACTTAAGAAATCCAGCCATCTGATTGGTCGAATTGCATTCATAAACTTCAACTGTTCCTGTAAAATTCCCGGTAACCATGCATAAAACATTTCAATATTTTTAATAACCATGGTTATTAAAAATATAGGTCAGTCTCCATGGTTACCCCATAGGTTTACATGTTAAAAAATGGTTTGAGCGATGGAGGATACCATACGTGTGCGAAAAATTGGTCGGCAATTTCAATACAATTGAATCTCGATCGATCTTACCGACAATTTTATCTTGCATTGTTGACATGAAGACGAAAATTAACTCTCAAAAACAAAAAAACAACATCTGCCGATAGATCTTGATCTAAGTTCGTGCCAATATGCATTGCAAAAGTAAAAGAAGGGTCCGTTTCATGGAGCTTTTGCGAAGCATCCCTCACGCGGAGCCGTTTTTAATCCATTTTAATGTATATATCGGAAAAAACTGCCAATCATGTTAACGCCGCACGATAGCCGAGTGGTCTAAGCGTTGGTTTTCGATACTCCTCTTGTTGTACGCAAGAGTTTGAATCTCGTCTTCGACAAAAAATGCAAATTATTTTTTATTTTTTATTTTTTAGTCTATTTTTTTTCGGCATATAAAAGTATTAATGACTGCTTTAATATTCGAGAAATAGTTGTTTTCATACGCTCTCGGGAAGGTTAAAATTGGGCTATTCCCCTCGGCAAGCCTCGGGGAATAGCACAATTCTAACCTTCCCTTGAGCGTAATAAAACAACTATTTCTCTCAAAGCAGTCATTAATACTATATTATTAACCGTATCAGACATCTGAGCAGGGCAATTTTTAAATGGTATTGCCCTCAAGGTTTTGATGGATAAGTCAACAAAATTACAATAAGTTAGTCCGCGCAGAAAAGTCAATGGGATTTTGTGTGTAATTTGGCGGGCAATATAGGTTATATAGAAAACCAATGCGCAAATATTTTACCCCGCTCAGAAGAGTCAATGGGATTTGTGTGTAATTTGGCGGGCAATATAGGTTATACAGTAAGTCAATGGACAAATATTTTAGCCCGCTCTGAAAAGTCAATGGCAAAATGCGTGTTAAACTAGTGCGCAATAATGTAGTGCCAGTTGTAATTTACATCGCGCATCGTGTATTAGAAAATGCGCACTTTGCGCGAACTCCATTGTGACGTAACAATCACACCCTAGGCAAACTGTTTGCAGTGTATCGAAAATCTGTCAAACACTGGATGAACAGTGCTGGTTTGACAATGTTTTTGCAACTTCTAATGCTAGGAAACCCTGTGTAGCCTACATAATTTAAGAGTATAAGATAGTAAGAGTTTCTTGTTTGCTCTAGATGTCTGATGTGGTTAATAATAGTAATATTGACTGCCTAATTCAGGGCAATATATACGACTTGTCATATATCACCCTCACCTTCGGTTCGGGCGATATATGTCGTATTGCCCAGAAGGCAGTCAATATTACTTAAATATCTAAAATGTCTACCACATGATTTACCGAGTTGCTTCCTTTTATCAAATATACACGTAAAACAAAATGAGGACAGACTGTGCGGATAGCAAACCGCACGGATCGTCCCTCGGACGATCCGTGCGAGTCACGGACGATCGATGCGAGCAGAAAACCCGCATGTTATGTCCGACGGACAAACGAAACTGGTAGGCCTCGCCAGCCTTGTACTAGTCCGGTCCAGATTCAGTCCGTTCGTTCTTTTTATCCCCCACACACAGCGCGGTCTCTCCACTAATCGCGCAATCCCCAAATTTCGTTGAGGGTGTGTTTTTTTATCAGCTGATTGGGTGCGCTAAACGAAAACGGTACAGAGGCTGGACTAGCCTTGTACTAGACCAGCTTATGGTCGTTTTAATCTTTCGCCCTTTCCCAAATGCGCGCGCGTGTATGATATGCGTACTCCCCACGAATTCACCTTCCTAGCTTCAGGTTGTGTGTCCGTACGTGTATAATTATTATGGTGTACTAGTATGTGAGCGAGCACGGATCATGTAGAGAACAGTCGGGTTGTGTGTCCGTACGTGTATAATTATTATGGTGTACTAGTATGTGAGCGAGCACGGATCATGTAGAGAACAGTCCAGGCAGTGGACTAGCCTTGTACCTGTACCTTCGTAGGCTACCGAAATGGACACGCAATTCTTTTAAAGCGCCATCTGCGTTTATTGGAAGTCACGCGAAAAAATACAGAATAAAAGAAAAGAGGGAGATATATACTTATTGTAGATTATAGATAGATGCATGGATAGATAGTTAGATATATAGATAAAGTGAGAGAGAGAGAGAGAGAGAGAGAAAGACAGACAGACAGAGAGCCGTGGAGAGGGAAGAGAAGAAAAGAAAATAGTTTTAAACGCTAATTAATTATCTGTTTTTTTTTATTAAAAAGAACATACCGAGTCTGGGAAAGTACACAGCACTTAATTGCCCGCTCTGGATCATCATCTTTTCAAAGCAATTGGAAAACATACAATACAAAACAATGTACTTGTACTGCTCGCTCAAAAGAAACTGGAAAGTTGCTAATTTGGCGTTAACTTAGATCACCTCACAAAATGTGCCAGTATGCCTATGCTAATAGTTACTTAACATTAATCTTTATCTGAAAACACTTGTAAAAGATGGGAGACAAAGTTTCTGGAAATTTCATTAAGTTATTTTATTTGATCATAAATTACACAGACAAACGAACAATCACAGAACAATGATTAATTGAAATAAAATTTAGCATAATTCAACCATAAAATGATTGTTGACATAATTTGATTCCATCGCTGAAAACTCAACAACTCTCTAGGTAGTTTCAAGAAACATTAATGGGGGGCTTGGCAAAATGTACAGGCACAAAAATATGCTTCTGAAATGCAAAACACACGCAGAATAATTAGTGATGTTTGTCAATAATTTAAGGTTATTTTTTTGACATATCTGAATGAAAGTTTAGTTAACATCGAGGTGGTATATGCATTTACCAGCTCCTTATCCTTTTAATATAATGTGCTTCTATCACTGTTTGATGAAATTATGATTTTCAACGATTATGAAGTTTGCGTTCCGGATGCCTCATTTCATGCCACCTCATTTTGCTAAGCTACATGTACCTTAAGGCAAAGGAAGAAAAGGAAGAACAGAGTTCCTCAATTTTAATGAAAGACTTGTTTTACATCAAAAATTAAACAATATTAGGCCTATAGAGCTACAAAGGTTACAACTTGGCACTGCTTTAAACAAGAAAATGCATTTATAAGAAATTTGCCTAGAAACATAATCAAAATATCTGTAAATAAAAGGCTGTCTAGTCTTTTCTATCAATACTAGAATATCTTTAATACAAAATCACAAGTAAACAGTGCTAAGCACATTATACATGAAGTTGATTTGGTTATAATGGGGTTTGGTTGGAAAGTGTATAAAAATACAATTTATTTATTATTGATATTATCCCCGACTCCCCCCCCCCCCCCCCCCCCCTCCGGGAACGGAGGGATGACCGCAGTCATGTTCCCAAAATGTCCAGTAAAGGGGTACTTTTCACGCAACAAAGTCTAGCACGTAATACACAACAAATCGGCCCGTATTGACTTTACACACCGGACTTAAAGGGGTGCTTTAAAAGGGAGGGAACATGCATGAGTGGGGGGGGGGGGGGCGGGATATTATCAGGAGTCAGTTTCTGCAAATGCAGAGTAAGCTCCACTCAATCCCTATTTATTAAGTATGGCAGTGTAAATAAAGATTAGATCAATTGATCCACATGATCATGTATTGCATAATTTGCATTGTCAAATAAAGGCAATATCTACAACTATAACTCAGAGCCTACATTATATGTAGCCAATATAGATCTAGTTCTAGACACTACTTTTTATTCAGATGACACACTGCAAGATGAAATTCAAGGCTAGAAGTGATTTTTAGTCAGAATTTCAGATGAATTTCAGAATGTTAATAATATACATCTGTATTTATTCCAGCAGCTTTGCTACGTGGGTTCCTTACCACCCCCCCCCCCCCTCAAAACATAAATGAAAGAGAAGGAATATCAAAGATCTGGGGGAGGGCACAACATTCTCTTCAATTTCATACCAATAATAACAACATTTATCTAGCATTTACTACTAATGTTTGTAAGAACTGTAATTTTACATTCAATTTATATGATTGAATTCAGGAATCGGTGTCTAATCATAATAATTTGTTTATTCAGGGAAGCCTCATCAGCACTAATGTTCTTCCCCAAAAGGGCCGTGCAATTATCAGTACCTCTGCAACTGGTAGGGTGGAGAGTGGCAAATGTGGATAAATGTCCTACAAAAAGATGGGAGTGATGGGCTGGGATTTGAACCCTCAACCCTTGAATTAAGAGTCAAGTGAATGAACCACTATACCACAGGGCAATTCCACGGTAACGGAAGGACACTCAGACAAGATTTTTGAACTTCAGGTTCATACTAAAAGAAATGTTTTATTAGTATGTATTAAACTATGGGGAACAAAATGTGTTTCAGTCAAGTGGAAAGCTTCATCAACTTCACAAAGTTTGGATAAACACTAATTAACTGGAAAAACCATGTCCATTTTTATGTCCTTCCGTTACCGAGATAATTAATATGCACATTCTTAAACTACTTAACTATAATGACAATTTTTTTGGGGAGAATTAAAGGCACCTATATAGGTATTATATCTGTACTGTTTCACATCTTATACTAATAAAACAGTTCTTTTAGTATGAACCTGAAGTTCAAAAATCTTGTCTGAGTGTCCTTCCGTTACCGTGGAATTGCCCCACAGCATATCTTGTGAATCAGTCACCTTCTCTCCAATACTAAATTGTACTTGAAGTGGAGTATTCCCAATTATTAGGATTGACTATTCAGTACTGTGTACGACTATGACGACACTCAAATCTACAAAGTGCTATCACATAAACAATGTATCACACATCCAGGGGGGGCATTTCACAAAACTTGTCATCAGTGACAAATGACAGTTTTTGTTATATGCTACTGAAATCCTTGCTTCTGATGGGTTTTCAGCAGATTTGTCACTGATTTTTGTCATTTGTCATTGAAAATAGGCTTTGTGAAATGCCCCCCCCCCCCTGAACTAAGAGTGATATATTATGTTACCCAATACTAGAGTTGTGCCACATCTAACATAGCCACAATGAAAAGTGAAAGCCTGAGAAACGACTACTGCGAAACTGATCCATTTTGTATGGATTTAAATAATTCAGTGTCTTTGAGATAAGAAACAACTTTAAATAACTACTGCAGTGAAAGCAATAATAGATCTTATACTCTCCAGATTCCTGTGTCAAGAAACTAGCCTTGAGATACTCTACTAATAGTTACTCTAAACATATTTTTTTATCAGTCTAATACCTACTCTTTTCATCACAAATAAATTAAACATAGGCTACTACGAATAGTACAACATTTATGTATTTCAGACAAAACACTCGTAACTTCACATCTGCTTGGCATTGGATTCAGGTTTTGGCATGTATGGTATCTTGAAAGGTGGCCTCTGAGGACTACTCTGATAATTGGCGATGCTGGGTAAAGCCTTCATGCGATTGTAGTACGAGTTGAGCTTCGGGAACTGGGCAAGGATGGCCACAGGAGGGCGCCCCATATCGAGCTTGTCGAATTCGATGTTGGTGTCGAGGAGGTCAAAGATGAGGAAGTCAACCCAGGTCAAACGATGAGATACAAAATATCCTCTTTGCTGAAATACAAAAGACAAAAATAGTTATTCACGTTAATTGTAAGCTATGGTGATGAAACTGCTCGTTTCTGTGTAATATTATCTAAAAAACGCCTTTATGAAACGGCAGCTAAATCAACAAGAAAATAAAAGAATGAATGCTACATCAAGGAGGCAGTATTACTACACAAAATGATTTGTCACACAAATAATTTTTGAACTTTATTATATAATCAATTGGTTACTTAAATTAGAAGATTATGAGTAAGTTTTAATCCATATTGACAAGTTTAAACACACATGTACTCACAACACATAGAATTCTAAGATATCCATATTTATGGTAGACTGAATAGTGACTAACCTGCGAAGATATAGAGGGCGCTATTTTCTCAAAATATCCCAGCCAGAGAGGAGCAATCTCTTTCAGGTATTCATCCCTCATGGCAACGGAGAAAGACGGGTCATAGACGAGCTTTGAGAGCTTGCTCCTAGCATCCTCTACAATTACAAAAGAAAAAGAGTATTCAAATGAACATATTGGAAGCTTATGCGATCCTACAATATTCAATGATCGTTGTCGCGGTTAAAATCGAGTCTAAATTGATGAAATTGTAAAGAATAAACTCTTCATGTTCTATAGCTCCCTCTCAAGGTCAAGATATTAATTTAGCTTTTGATAGCTTGCTCCTAGCATCTTCTAAAATTTTAAAAGAAAAAGACTATCAACTTGGTATAAAATCATGATACAACATCTCAAATACAACGACAAGATACAGCTTAAGGTTATTTACACTTTTAAATGCCTCTTTGAAATGTTTGTAATTAAATATGCTTCAATGCTCTGGGGCCTTATCAAGACAGCCAGGGTAAAGCTGGTGTACTGTGGCTCAAGTGCCTTAGATAGTTTTAGACAGATGATGCAATATCAGTGCATTACATGATTACCCTTAATATCAAAATAATATATTTCAAATATAGATTTAAACCTGAACAAGATTTCATATAACAGAAAGGTTTTTTGTCATATATATTAAGTATTTTCCGTAGTTCCAGAACCCCTGGCTATGTATTAACTTACCTGTTTCTGATAATGATGTTTCTATGGATAAAATCCACCAAGTTTTCACCACTTGTAAGCTTTGAGGTGGTTTACAGCAACTTGAAACTTGGAAATATGCATAACTGAAATCTGAATACCTCAGACAACTGTCCTTAATGTTTGTAAGTGAATCTATCCTTTCTCTACAAGCAACCTCTCCAAGAATCAACTCACCAACACCCAGAGCCAGTACCTCACAGCGATGCATATCTTCACAGTCACAATCCATCCCTGTAGCCCTACCAAGGTAATGCAGGATGGCTTGCTGCTGGACCATAGACACACCCGATGATGTCACAATGGCTGGCACTGGGTATGAAAAAATAAAAGGAAATAATATTGTATGGAAGCACACAAGTGATGTATATGGGCCTGTATGATTTACCATAAAGCATAGCAAAAAGTAGTTTGATTCATCTTTGATACAAATGTAACAAAATGAAATTTTCTATAAAAGTGACAGAATTCTTTAACTAGAGAACTTACCCATGTATTAAGACAATGCTGGGTTTCAATGTTAGGCTTAATAGTATAGCAGAACCTCTCACAAATAAGAGTATGGTGTACGATATTATTCCAGCTTTTAGAATGTAATCCACAATCTTTTTCCTTTTAAAGTAACCTTCCAAAATATAAAAAAAATTATAATGTAAGCATTTCCTCTGCATTTGTTCTTTCAAGTACTCTAATTAAATATGATTATGTTAAATGTCAAATGCTTTCCTCCCATTAATACATAAATGCTCCATGGGAGTGGGTCGGTAGGGGAACTTGTAGAAGGGGGAAGGGGGAAGGGGGAGGGGACAAGTATCACCTTGTCCATATGTGTAAAGGCCTTTCTCTACTCCTGCTTTCTTGGCTTCAGGCCAAGTTTCCCGGCTAAAGTCTGTCTGGTTGTAAGGAACGTTGGCTTGCTCCAGCAGAAGTCGGATGGCCTCCGCTCGACCTCGACCAGCAAAGTAGTGGATGGTGACAAAACCCAGGTCCTCTGCTGGCACACATCCTGCCTTGCCTGTGGCAATCTCTTGGAATTTCCTATTGACAAGCAAATAGCAATGAATTTTGAGAACTGAAAAATGATTGTTTATATATCAATGAATGGATCTAGAATTATTACAGAAGTAAAAAGGAGATTAGCCCCCTTTACATTGCTCTCATATATCCTAACAGAATTCCAGGAAATGGTCTTTATTTGGAGAGAATTATCTGTAAGAAAAATTAGTAAAAGAAAGTCTAGCTCTTTGCAAGTCCAATTTGCATACCATTTCAGAAACCCAAAATGCTGCTACTGTGGAATGATTGTGTACTCGCCCCATAAATCAAGTCTTGGTAGCTCTTCATAAGTCTATTTGCCAATATAGGCCGTATCAAGCAAATCAAGGGTATACCAATATTTAATTAAAAAAGAGAAGAAAAAAGAAAACAAAAATAACAACAGCAAAACAAACAACAAAATGAAGGAAAAATGATGTAAATTCTAGATGATGTAGACTATGAACGTTAACAATGCAGTTGGTAGTAGGTTGGCACCAACAAAAATCAACTGATTTATATCACATATATTTCTTTTAGACAACAGATTAAGAAACAACAAAAGACATACAAGTTAAAACAAGACATCCACCCCCCACAAAAAATAGAAATAAATACATATAGGTCTAGGTCCAAGTTAGATCTAGAACATATTCTAGACTCCATAGGATATAGATCTATAATGAAAGTGCACAAAGTAAAAAAGAAGCAAACAAAAGAAAGAATGAATGAAGCTTTTGTCAAAAATTATTTGATTACCATCAAGTCAGATGAAACATTGACAAGATTTGTCTAAGACTCGACTCCATCTCAATCTCTATCATATGAGTACAACCACCCCCCCCCCCAAAAAAAAAAAATAAATAGATCTAGGTCTAGACCTAGGTCTAGGTCTAAATCTCAAACTCAAACTCAAATTTAAGTTCAAAGCATAACCAAATTACAATTTTGTTTGCATCTTTCACATGACTATGCCAAACACGAACAAAACGAAAGCAGAGTTTGGTTCCTCCAATGCAAACCATACTGTGCAAAAGTGTTTAGTTTCTTTGTTTGCATGATCGGAATAGCGAGATGAATCCAAATTCCTGCTGATTGCATTGTCTCAGTTTGTCAGCGGATAGAGACGGGTTAAGTCCCCAGACCCACCGGCCTACCTTCTTCCCAACTTCCACACAATGCCAAGCCGACTGGTATCCCAGACGCAGCCTTATTATTCTGTGTAATTATTAAACTTACCGCATAAAAATACCACTTTTACCCGTTAGGTAAATAGTGCCTAATGCAGCAATGATTACAGCGCCAAATTGGAGCCAATCCATGGTAAAATTAACGATTTAGAAGCCGAAATTGCCTTCTTGACCTCAGCTATACAGATTCCCGTCGTAGCTGGCGCTCTGTGGAAAATTGTGATCAAGTCAAGATGGCTACGTTTCCATCGATTAGTCAGGTAAGGTATCTGATTTAAAAGTTGATTTTCACAAATTTATCTTTTAGTAAATAATGAATATGTTATATAAAATTGATTTTTGATCCTTGAATGTTATGAATATGAATTTATATATCATAAATATGCAGTCATAGTGATGTTATCGTGACTTGAATGTTGGTGCTGTATGTCGTTTATTTGAACCCGAGGCGCTTGACTGGATTACCCGTGCAGCCTCCATGGGCGTGTAGCGGGCGGACACCTCACCGGCAAACCTGCCCTGCCCACTCGCGCTCCACGGGCACACCCCGTGAGTGCAGCTTAGGTTAGCCCTATTCCCTTGCCTGCCAGGCTGGGCGCAGCTTGAGGCCTGATGAGGCCAGGCAGAGGCAAGATCAATCATTGATCATGGCCCCTTCCCACTCCAGCAAAGCTAGTAGTAAATGCTAATGCGTATACACTGTACGTGCTTAAAAAGTAAGAGTAATTATTAGTAAGACTAAGTAAAAGACAGTAAGAGGCATCAATTTTGAACACTGCATGGTTTACAAAACAAATGAAAGAAAATAACAATTAGTTTTTTTTAGACCTATTGTTGAAACATTTACTTTTGAATGCGATGCTCCAAAACCATACTATTACCGTAAATCATAAATGACCGTAATAGTTCACTTTTGTAATTTCCAGCTGATTCAGAGTTAAAAATCTGTAGAAAAACTGAAGAAAATGCCGCTGATTTCCCTCCATGTCTTGTTACGCATTACGACCGAATTTGTGTATACGATTTTATATGGAGATTCAACGATGGGCAAGTTTGACAGTAGACTCACGTTTTGAATTTTCAAAGAATTTTTCTAAGTTGAAAAGATTGTATTTTACTGCTTTTTAGGTGTCATCAATTGTCACTAAAGAAGTACCGATTTTGAGTGAACTTAAGTTGAGTTTTGTACAGTGGTGTTTGAAATGTCAAGAATCGATAGAGGTCGTCCAAACAGTTTTTAATACACAATAAGTATACTTGTGCAGTTATGCTGCTATGTGCGGGCCTCGTCTGCCTTTATAAATATTGTATTATTATTATTATTATTTGATTGAATACTGCAGCTGCAGGTGGAACCATAACTTGCTGCTGGAATTCTATTTATGTTCACCAACCGTTTTTTTAGTGGAACTGAACAGAAAACATTATTTGTAATCACTAATGTTAATAGTAAATCTTAAACTAGTAAAAGTAAAACAATGTTATTTGTCATAATTATTAGGACAAGTTATTGGTTTATGTCTCCCAAAGCTGTCTACAGTTGCATAAAAAGATACATCTGTGCAAGCACCAATATCATAACCAAGGGCTTATTCCACACATTTTCAGTTTGTTTGTTTGTTACTTGTGGCGTTGAGCACTATTTTGCAAATGTTTGAAATGAAAGATAAAATCATTTTCAGCAATCAGAATACCACCCCAAGTTGAAAGTTGAGAGCGGAGAAGATATGGATCCTGCTGAGTATCGTCATACCATGTAGAAGTAGAAGTGATCAAGATCATGATGTTTCTTTAGAATTCTTTATTTGTACATGTACACTGTAAATAAAAATATTTTGAGTTTAATAAAAACTCTACTTGTACTTACGTAATCTAAGATTACCTGTACATGTTTGTTTATTGTTTAACATAAGAATGAGGGTACTAGTTGGTTGTGATATGAGTTTGAATGATTACTGCCAATTCAAGGTTTTGCATTGTATATCATTATATAGATTACTTTATGTAGTGATCCTTTTTCCATGGTGTAGGTCTAGAGGTGGCCTAACTTTACATTGGTACATGTACATGTAAATGTACTGATCACATTCTCTCTCTGTCTGTCTCTCTATCTCTCTTCCTCCTTTCTTTCCCTCTCTTATTTATGAATGATGAATGATCTATGAATTCATGATTCATATTTTATATTGGTTTAGAAAATTAATCATTTAGTATTTAGAATTCCTAGAGAATCAACTTTGCCAGGAATAAAGATTGAATTAAAAAATATTATTTTAAAAAAAAAAAGAAAAAAAAAATATCCCCCAAATCACTTTTTAGATATAACTTATTAATATAGCATGTAGATTCCTTAATTAATACCTAATACAGACAAACCTGTATATAAATACCACTCTAGGGGAAACATGGAAACATAATCTTTATAGGCATGTGGTCCAGCTTCCAGTGAGAAACCATATTCAATGAAATCAAAAAAATCTTTCTATACAGGCAGTCACTAAAGCAGGTTTCACTGTAAAAGTCTGTAATAATATTAATACTGCTACTAGTACTACTACTTTATATTTATTTATTTTCCACCATTGGACATTTCGTTTTCATTAACATTTTAGTGTTTGGCATTTTTTTAATGATTGCCTTTGACAGGGTTAAGTTTCACTTTTCTTCATTCAAAACAAACAAACAAATAATGTCACAATAATGTCACTCTAACAATGTGTCTAAAATCTAAATGGATTGATTGATTTCTGCTCTTCAAAAATTGATTTGACAGATAACATCTATAGTTTTCAGAATGCAACCCAAGATCTAACTTAATGTACTCAAACATTCCTCTTTTCAAAGAACAAACAATTTCTGTAGAAATAGAATATTATGTCAACTTATTTACAACTTTTTTAATCATCTAACCTTTTTTCTTCCAAAAGAACTTTGATATTGTGATTGCAGAATGCAGACGATTAAAATTTAAAAAAAAGTATGTGCATGTAGTACAGATGCAAAGAAATATTCAGAAAAAAACCCCTCTACCTAAATGTACTTTCATATGAAGAAGGAATTTGTGCTAATTAATCCTGTATGGAATACATACAGTATATGCCGGTAGTCCTTTGCTGTATGCCCTGTATTGTACATGCTTTATGTTTAGACTTTATTGCATCTTACTCTTTGCTTTAAGGGTAAAGACCAGTATTGGAAACGCCCCAATTTCAAAAAATGAAATGGAAGCTCTTATTACCAATCATATGAAAGAATATGTTTTGACTAATACATGATGATAACAAATTTCCCGGGAAACCGCCTACTAATTGATATATTTGGTAAATTAGTTTATCTATTGGTATGTGAGAAATAAACGCACGTGTCGCGCACATGTGCGTAGTCCGATATACATCTTTCTGTGTACAGTGCTTGTAACTTTACTTATCATTTTGATGAATCCAGAACCTTGCAGTACACACCAATTCTTATATGCTAGATGATCAACCTTTTTGATCGATTCCACAACGTTTCTTTCACTATGCAATCGCATGACCATAACTGGTCTTTATCTTTAATACTTCACCAGGCTTTACAGCAGAAGTAGTATGAGACAAGATCTTGCTGTAATCTAGTAGCACACCCATGCAATATTTACATGAGAAAATAGGCCTGTCTTCATCAGCTCCAGTTTTCCAAGTAAACCACTATTTTAACTATCTCGATCGCCGGCAATTGTAATTAGCGGGATATTTGGTCGAGAGAATATCCCAAGAAATCTTGGTTTTGTTTCCAAAATATCCCGCTATTTGGGAAAAGGCGGATTAATTTGTGCCTGTCCGAGCTAGTTTGTAACGAGCGTATCGGTCTGGTGAAGTCGCAATTTAGAGCTTTGGGATATCGCGAGTCTGAAAATAGCGGGTTATTTGGCAAACTCAAGCTGATGAAGACAGGCCTTGTGAGTTAGAATCCCTGATTAGGGGGTTATGGATACGGGTGATGATGATGAGAGGATCTGGTTTATTAATAGGACCGAGGAGAGACTTCTAATGGATACTCCATATTCCTGTGACTCATGCCTGAAACTTCACACAAACGTTACACTTCCTGACTCACAACAGACAAAGCTATCCTAGTGTGTGGTGATGGGTCATATATGTGGGTGTAGGTAAAATTTGTAGAGCAAGCTACCTGTGTACTTCCCCTCTGTTTAATGTACATGTGTAACACCAAAATGATATATTGAGAAACACTATTTGTATACAAACATGTACATGTAAGCATGGTTTGAACTTACGTACTACATGTACTAGACTACTAATTAGAGTACTACTTTCATTTTCTGTAACGAACAACAACACATCTTTAAAAACGATAGACTTTGTGAACCTGTGTGAAAATAAAAGAAAAAGAGGAATAAAGATAGACTGAGAGAAACAGAGACAGAGAGAGAGAGAGAGAGAGAGAGAGAGAGAGGGGGGGGGGGGGGAGACTGATTAAAGAGATTTTTAAAAAAATGCTTTTGTTTTAAACTTTTTCTGTTTTTTTATGAAAGTTACAAAATCAGATTGCATATTGTGAATAGTAATTTTGTTGTCATGGGGCAGTGAAGTAATAGTTAATTTTTTCTTTTCTTGTGTTTCGTATGTGCGTTTTTTCAATCAAAGAAATGAAGGTGGCATTTTTTGGAGTTTACAAAGCTACAGTGCACATGTATGTTTTAGTTTTTCAATGATGTGGACCTGTTATTAAACTTATAAATGTACATACATGTATATTTCAACAATATTGGCAGATTTTTTGTAAAAAGAATGACTGTTTCTTACTTCTTTGCTTTTCATACAGGTTGCTGGGTCCAATATCACAGCATATGAATCTCTCTTCAGACAAGTAAGAATATTTAATTTATCATTTGTCGGTTAAATTGTAATTTTAGTATCTTTATACATAATGTGAATATATATATGTACAACAATTTAGCCAATGCGTATTATCAAAAAATGAATCGAATGAGAGAAAGAGAGAGAGAGAGAGAGATAGAGGGGGAGAGAGAATGATTAGATGTTACATTATAAAGCATGGGGTTCTTTTTTTCTGAATATTGTAGGGTCAGTTTTTTTCCCCAAAAAACAGGTGATCCTTGGTCATACTCTAGGTAATCCCCAAGGCTTAAAATGCATGATCTTAAAATCAAGTAGCTGTAGTGTGAAGCCGTATAGTCATGGCCTACACCTTAAGGATTACAGTGTCAAGGTAAAGTATTTATTTAAAAAAAAAGATAGGTTCATTTTCTTGAACATTACAGTCCCTTTTCCTACAACTTACAAGCCTTAGAAGTCTTACTGTTTGGTTCAGTGATGTCAAAATACATGTATCTGGACTTATAATGTTATGTGTTAATACAGGCAAGATCCAAAATGGTTGACCATGAATTTGAATAATGGCCTTTTAATCTGTCTTTGATTTGAAAGCATTAGATTACGTATCTATGCGATTTAATTCTTAAGTGAAGTGCACTTTCCTTGAAGTAACAAAGGACTATGTCAGATTTGTGATTGAATTGAAAGCTGTCGATTCATGGAGCATTTATTACTTTTACTTTCATTTTAATTAAATTTACCACAGATCAATTTATTTTGTGTTGTTGCTAATGTTAGGATGTGCTAGACTGGAGAAAGATGGTTGTAATTCAACCATCTGTTCACAAAGCATATTTGATCATCATATTTAAATAACATTATGATGTGAGCTCCGAGGTAGCTTTACAGTTTTCATTTTGCAAGCCTCTGCTTTAATATGCAGCTGTAGCATAATTAGTTTTCTGAACAATATGAAACGTATCAAAGACAATATAATGTCTATAAGTTGAGCTGGGGCACAAAATACAAGTACTTCTTTTTCCTAATGAATAAGTAAACATTGACAGTTTCTTCTTAAGACAGGGTTATTACATGTACAATGTATACATTATGTTTCTTTAAATGAGAAATTACATAACTTGGTTTAGTTGTAGGGTATGAATAATTTAGTTTTTACTTTTTAACTGTATCTGTTATTTGAAGAAAATTTGAAGTAAGAGTGTCAGCTATATTTCGCCAGACAGTAAAGCAACTTCTCATGGGTCAAGCACTACCTGTGGATTTCCTGTAGTCCCACCCATTAATTCACTCTTTTGTGTTGTATTAAAAGCAATGGACTACTTCATATAGATCATAGAGGTGACCAGTGCTTTCCTTGAGGGGAAATGTCACCCAGAAACATTTTGTCATAGATTACAGTGAATAGTAGAAGAAAAGTCTGATCCTAGAGTATCATTATAAACTGCCAGACAGTAAAAATTCACATACATGTAGGTCAAGTATTACCTATTGGATTTCCTGTAGTCCCACCCCATTCACTCTTTTGTGAACTTGTAAAGTAATGGATTACTTCATAGAGGTGGTCGGTGCTTTCCTTGAGGGGAAATGTCACCCGGAAACATTTCATCATAGATCACAGTGAATCTCAGGAAGGAGGCGTTGGGCAAGTTTGTATTATTACAGCATAGAATAAGCACACTACATGTACAGTATATCAGGGGTAAATGAATTGCAATGGAACTTACATACATGTACATGTAGATACATTTTGTAGGCAAACATTTACATGGTCTGCTCGCTATTTATAAAAGACCGCTATTCATTTGGTCACGCGTTATGGATAGCCGTCCTTATGAATGATGGTCCTGATGAAAAGCGGTCCTTATGGATAGCGAGCTTGAACCACATTTACAAGTATGCCGTTCATAGAAGGATCAATTTAAAAAGTATGCATAAACTTTAATAGTAAATCAGTCCCTTTTATCAGCAATTTGTTGTACATCAGGACTCTCCAGTGTTATTATTTTGCCATTTTCCTGTATAAAGCCGTCCATTCATGTATACACTTTTAAACTCCAAGCTCCCAATACCTTGAGATATTGAATTTGAAGCAAAATCTGCAATGATATTTTTACAAAGTACTTCAATTCAATTGTTTAATTTTTCCAAATCATTATAAAATTTACTTCAAATACAATTACAAATACAATCCATGTACAGTTACCAAATAGATGAGGAAAAAAAGGGGAACCAAAAAAAAAAAAAAAAAAAGCTTGTGGGTTGGAAAGTCCCTCAGTACATTATCATAATCAAACTGTGTACTTAAATGAAAAGTATGAAAATATTCCAAGGTTACACTTACCGGTACACTTCCTAGAAATTCAAATTGTATTGTGTAGAAAAGTTGCGTTAAAGATTATAGTACACAATGTCTGGTTGTGCACTAAAACAGTTACACATGTAGTAAAATCTGAAATTTATTGTCCTTACAGGTATTCTTGTTCAATTCTATTCTTGTGTACTACTAGTTATGGTCAAGAATATGCTTTGATAACAAAAGTGGTTATGTCTTGTGTTGTAAATTATAGAAGGGTGTAATGTGTATGTACAGTACATGTAGCATTATTGTGTACCCTGCTATATCCACATCAGTGCTTGTTTGGTATTGGAAAACCGATTGTACATCCAATTTATTGGGACTAATTTCATCAACAACTTAATTAGTCTAATAAGGGTATTGCTTTTAAGTTGCATGTTATTAAAAAAAAAAACTTGTTCCATATTTGTGATACCAGGCAACTTTTACATTCAGATTAAGAACATTTGCAAAATAATGTTATGATTTTTTAATGACTTTTTATTGATATTGTTGTTGCTATGGACAAGTGCCAAGTGAGCTACTGTGATCATGCATGACATAGATCATTTAGACTGATTGCATTGTACATGCATGGTTGCCCAACAAATTATAACCTCTTTTCATAGAAAGGATTGTGGCAATATGATTTATTCTGGATGGATAAAATTAATGTCTTCTCAGAACTTCATTGATCAATCTAAAGACTTGTGAAGAGATTGATCAATAAAGTTCTGAGAACATATACAGGTAAACTTTATCTACAATATATCAGAAAGAAACCATATTTATTATCACAATCATTTCATGAATTTCCATGGATGACAGTGTACAATTTAGGATGGAACGGGCTATCTTTATTGGAAGAAGTAAAATCTACAGAGGTTTCAAGTACATGTTGCTGTTTGCAGTATCTAGAACTCCTATTATAATACCCTAATAATATCCCAGAGTTAATACATTCTAAACAGTAGAGGGTAATTTATCAATGCATATTACCAATTAATATGATGTATATTGCATGTTAAAACTATACTTACATGTATAGTACTTTGATGTGTACATCTAGATGCCCATGTACATTTAACATCAAGATTAGAAGTGATTTGGCACCAGAAATTTGTGTTTGTGGTTGGATAATTTGGGTTTATACATAATGTGGGTTTATATTGAGCTACTGTATCACATCATGTTAGTTACCAACATGTACATGTACATGTAGATACAGGTACATGTATTATGTCTTTTAATATCCTGGAGTTAATACATGTGGGCCTGTACATGTTATGTCTGGTGCCATGTCCACAAAAAAGCCTCTAGGACAAAATGAAACAAATTTTACAGTTTGCACCATGTAACATGTATAAAGTGAAAATTCAATTTATACAGTAGTTAGAAGAATGTTGCAGGAAGAAACTGTTCTGCTTTGAGTAAAGTAGGGAACCTTTAAATGTAGATCAACAAATTAATGCTTTACATGTACATGTACATGTACATTGGTCTGCAGATTTATCCAGCATCTAGTTTTCATGAAATTTGAGCAGATACCCTAGATTTTTATTTTCACTTTCATTTTCATCAGAGGTATAAATTAATGTTGTATTTTTTTAGTCAAAACTGGGATCAATCATGGGAAGTATGGCCATTATAGAGGATTAAAGTGATTAAATTATACAATTAAAAAGAAATGACAGTTAAGCGCTAGACTACATGTATGATTTTTATTTCGTTTTCTATGGTTATTGTTATTTTTTTTTAATGCCTGGTTAGCTTCTTGTTCTTAAACTAAACCCCTTTTTTAAAGCTAAATGTATGATGAAGATATCATAAGTCTGTTATATCCTCTCCTCTTTGATGCTGTTAACAATTCAGGGTATATTTCAAGTATACCTTGTTTGTTTCTTGTATGCATGTACATCTACCTACTTTTTAAATTGTTTTAAAGATATGATTACCTTGGTGGTAATTTTACATGTGTAGTCCTATTTCATTTCGCCCCTTATTCCCCTAAGCTCTTCATACATGTTGGTTTTCAAAGCTGAAACACCCTTTGTTTTATTCTTCCTTACATGTACATGTAAATATTTCCCCTTCCCTTAATGCCTTGGGAAAGTGATTTTAGCGTAGAATTTGTGTGTCCATTCATGTAGAATTCAACCAGTATTTGTTGTTTTATATTTACAGGTGGATAAGAGTGGCACAGGGAAGATAGGCGCCGTAGATGCAGCGGCATTCCTCAAGAAGTCTGGACTAAGAGAAACCATCCTCCATAAGATATGGGAGCTTTCTGACCCCCAGGGAAGGGGGTATCTGGACAAACAGGTAGGGGTCAAAGGTCAACTTCATTATGCGTTTAAAACATTGTACCGGTATATGTTCGAGAGACATAATGTTTCTCTAACCTAACCTCTTGTTACCAGCCATTTAATTCACCTGCTATGAGTAATGCCATCTCTATGGATGAAATCCCCTTTATTGTTGCAATGGCAGGCAAGGCTTTGGCAAACTGATAAAGTTGTCAAGAGAAACTTTTGTTGAAAATATGTGCATGAAATTATTTTCTTTACACCAACTATATTGCCAAATGTAATGATGGACCAAATACTATATCTCTTTAAAGAAATCCTCAACCAAAATAATTCCCTTTCCAACCATAACCCTAATCATATATTCTGATGATATGTATGCCCAGGACATTTGTTGTTGGAGCAAATGTTGTGTTATCGGCTTGTAAAAATGTTAAGTTTTGGCAAAAAAGTTAACAACTACATATATTTTCTAAAGGGTTATCTTAGGAATACCCCAGCAAAATGCCACCCAACTTTTTAATCCATGCAAGAAGACTGCGTTTTTCACCCTCAGGAAAATACAGCTATTTTCGAGCTAGAAAATGAATACCAATTGCCCCTTGTCACAGTTGCATTATCATCCGAGTAATAAAGGGAATGATTGAGTTTGAATGCATATTACTCTCTGCTATTCTGCATTTAGTGTGCAGTTAGCGGTCATTAGCGTCTGTGGTTTATAGTGTTTGACAGTGCTAATTGTCTCCTGTGAGTGAGGTCTTTGTATAATTATATCCACACTGAATTCATTAGCTTATGTGGTTAATACATTTTATGCACTGTATCTGTAGTACATCTAATGCAATAAACTATACAGTACATTATTTTCCACTTTACATGTACATTGTAGTTCAATGTACATTGCATCCTGTAAATTGTTTGTTAATGCCATGCATTTTGAGCACTCTGGATGGATAACATCTGGTATTTATATTTACATACACAATATACCACTTCTTTAGTTTCCTAATGACAATTTTTCCCGTTCCTTCCTTTTTACACAATATACTTCCTCACAGATGAATTGGCCTACATTATACATATATACATGTACATGTTTGTACCTTTTTTCATCTTCCATGCAAAACATTTGGTTCCTCCTTTTTTTTAGTTTATTTTATAACAAAGATCAAAGAGACACATTATATTGTTCTGTGTCCATTTTCTATTCAGGATCTCTCTTTAAAAAAAAAATGTATGTATTTCTCTCCTCTCTTTTTCTCTGTCTGTCACTGTCTCTGTCTCACCCTCCTCCCCCCTCTCTCTCTCTCTCTCTCTCTCCTACCCTTTCTCTCTCCCTTTATCTCCCTTTTCTATCCCTTTCTCTTCCTTCTCCCTTTCTCTTCCTTCTCCCTATGCTCTATACACTGTATATCTCTTTCTGGGCAGGTCCAAGCTATTGTCCCCTCTGGGGGTCAAATTTCATCTTTATATATATTTAACAAACTATACCTCATTTTAAAGTTGAAACTATGAATTTTATGAATCTGATAAAAAAAAATTAAAATTATCAAAATACGAAAAGTGCCAAGGTCACGAACTTCGATTTGTATTAATTAGCGTGACGTACGGGACATTACATTTTTATTTTTGTATCTCATTTGAATTATTTGTTTAAAATCAAATATCTCAGGACATGAAGACCATCATGCTAGAAAATAGGAAAAAAATATAAAAACTTTCAAAATTAATTAATTATGCAAATGAGGTAGGTTCCAAAGTGTGATGTCCCGTACGTCACAATTTGATCATAATTTGTTTAATTTTAATTATGAAAATATTTTTTTTTTTTAAAGATATTCTAGGAAGTTCTAATTTAGATGAATACCTAACAAAAAATAGGTTTAACAAAAATTTCAAAAGTTCTGTGTTGATTACATAATCAAATTAAGAAATGTGATGTAAGGGACAAGTGTGTGACGTACGGGACAACCCCATATAAAACCAATGCGAGATGTGAAAAAGGAAATGACCAAAAGGAGAAAATATATATACTGTGTTAGGAAACTTGTTGTATACAGGGATATATGAACATTTCAACTGGGTCCCTTCTAGGAATTTACTTGTTTGTACTTTTGTTGTTGTTTTATGTAATTGTTGTTGATGTAATTAGACTTCAAGCCAAACCCCTGGTATTATCAACTTTGGTATTTTGCCAGTTGATGTCCCCAGCATTGGCAGGATGCTAAATATGTAAATCATAATAGTGTACTAGTTCCTGGAATGAGTCTAATGAAATTATATGGTAGTGGATGCACCAGAAGCTGGCTTTTACAACTCATAGATGCTGCAGGTAAGAATAGTACATGTATGCTATCAAGCTCTCCATGTGAGGTTTTTTGATATTCTATTTAAATGTCATATATGATAGTAAAGGATTACAGCATACACTGTACATGTTATAGAGCCAGCTCGGGAATTCTGATCTCCTAAAAACTAAATCATAACTTTCAAAGAAGGATAGCCTTTTTGAGTATTTCACACTCTCACCCACTTAAGATTTTTATCACTTTTACACCCATACATTTTTGTTGATTTTGCTTTAAATTAATCTTTTGAATTGTGGAAAAGGTCACACAAACCTTAATTTTAATTTCCCATATCCGGTGGTGTTAATAAGATGTTTTAATCAATACGAAATACATTCAAGATTTATATTTTTGTATCCATCTTTCACAAACATGTACAGTAGGCTACATTAATGTACATCAAAATTCTTGAATATATGACAGCAACATATATGTTCTAATCTGTGATAAAAGGATATAAAAAAGACAATATGTCCAGCATTATCTTTGAATTCCTTCAAAATTCTATGATATTACTATCAAGTAATTCAAACAAGCTATGAAGAAAAGACTTCATATTTTTAATGTATCTTTGTTCACAAACACTTTTAGAGCATAAGAAATTTTCTTTGACAAAATATGATGTGCAGAGTGTGCCCTAGCTGTGTTTCAAACAAGTTTAAATAAAAGTTTCCAAGTTGAATTTCATCTTCTTCATTAATTATTATTTAAAAACATTTTGCAATGTTGAATGGAATGGATAAAAGAAATGAGAAAAGAAGCATGACTGCACATGATAGATGGGTAAATGGAATAAAAATGGTAATATAGTGTGTATGAATATTAATTCAATTTGTTTTCTTTGTTAAAGTAATATTTGTATTGATTTACCTCATAAATTAACACAGATTATATTAAGTGATGGTCAGAGGATCTAATTGGGTTCTAAAATACTCTAATTGTCACTGATTTAAGTTAAAATTGTTCACATTTAACAAATTTTGACGAAAATTTTTCATTTCAATGCATTTTCCCATAGGGAAAAGTTGTCCCGTACGTCACGTGTCCCGTACGTCACATGCACACATTTATGTTTTGGTATATTACATAATAACGAAAGGTCAGAAAAATATGGTAATAGTTGTGATTAATGCTTGATTCCATAATGAATCAAGATATCATTACCATAAATCTCATAACTTAATAAATTTAGAGAACTTTTATGATGAACTTATTTTTGAAAAAGTCAGAAATTCTCTGGTCCCGTACGTCACGCAGCACATTAATTACATTAAAAATTAGTTTATGAATTGGTCAGAACTAAAACTTTCCACAAATGAACTAGCCCATAATAGCCACAGACTCATACCAAAAGATAGTCATATAAATAATGTCATCCATTGTTATTTCTTGTTTAAAGTCTCTGAATGTCCCGTACGTCACAAAGCAAATAGCTTGGACCTGCCCTTCTCTGTCTGCCTGTTTTTTACCCTTAACACTATCTTTTTCCTTCTCCGTCTCTCCTCTCTCTACCTCCCCATCTTTCTCTCCCTCTCTCAAAGTATCCATCTCCCCCCTCCCCCCTCCCCCCTCCCCCTCCCCCCACCTCACCCTCTCTCCATTTCTGCATCTTTCTCTAATCATTGTCTCCATCTGATTGGCCCTTTTTTTTTTTTTACAGGCATTTACTGTAGCCCTGAAGTTGATAGCCCTTGCACAGAGTGGCAAGGAAGTTGCCCTGACGGGATTGACCTTCCCAGCCCCTCTTCCCAGTCTGGTGAGTATGTAGCCTATTTGACTTGTGATGGCATATATTTAATTGAAGACTAGGGGTTGGGGCAATAACCCCCCCCCCCCCCCCACTGATCTTTTTTAAATTATGAAACAGTCAAATTTAAGATAATAACCTAAAATGTTCATAGACTGTATGAGGACTCACTCTCAAACCCTTCTTCTTAATGTTATGTTATAAAAATGTATGTACATGTACATGTATCTTGATGGCAGAGAAGAAACAAAATATGGGATGGACAGTAACATTTCGTGGGCATTATGTTATCAAAGAAATAGGGAAGGTTAGGCATGTAAATGGGTTTTCGATTGGGTTTAGTATTGGGGTCAGGTAAAATAAAGTCAGCAATTTTGTTACTGTAGGAATTGACTGTGATGTAATTGTTGCTGGAGCATTTGTTGTAGAACCCACTACACCCCCCCCCCCCCATGTAAAACAAGAGCCACCTGAAAAAAGGATTCTATTGTGCCATGTTAATGATTTGCAAACATGAACGGTGAGAGTTCACTATACAATGTCACATTTTTCTAATGAAAAATCAACACTAGCTTCAAAAATATCCTTAAACAGACATATGTTCTATTTTATCAGAGGAAAACCCTAACCTCAAACATAATTGTGCGAACGTATTTGTTTACCATCCTGTGCTAGCATCATCCATTGTTTGATGGTCTTCTAAAAAAAAAAACTGTAAAAAAAACACACACACGTTTTGTTGTTCACTAAAAGTATACCGGTACTAGAAAATGGATTCAGTGCCCTACATGTATGTGCCCTCAGAATATTTTCAGTGTCAAAATCATTTATGGATTTCCTTCCCTGAGTTGAGTCAAGACCTGGTTTGATTATGATAGTAAGACATTATACCTGTGTGGTGATAGACTTGGAAAGGTTACATAAACATTTATGGTTAGACAGTAGACAGTAATTGGATTTATACCTTCATTGCTCAACCCAGTGCCCTTGATAATGCATGCATGCACAAGGAAGTTTCTACTAGTGATCGATAGCAACAGTCTGTATAATGCAGGTGGGAGTAAGGGACTGCCTTGCATGTTATTGTTTTTATTGATTGGTTGTAAGAGTCAATGGTTGACTGATTAATGTCACAGTTAGCTCAAAACAGTTACAGATACATGTACATATTGTACATGTAGATGTTTGCACATGTATATTATACATGTACATGATTGAAGAAAGGATTACCTGATAATAATTGTACTATAATGTAGTTTATTAAATACAGATATAAAAAAAGTAGAACAATAAACTGTACATGTTACAGTTTGATTCAATACGGAAATGGGTGTTTATTACATTTGGGTCTACCGTATTTGCCGGCGTAAAGGCCGCACCCCCGCATAGGCCGCACCCCCGATTTTGACATTTAAAAAAAAAAAAAAAAGTATTTTTGGTTTTGTTGTTGTTGTTTTGCTGCCGAAAACCCACGCGTGGAAGGACCTTCATTTAACATCGAGGTTCAGTTAAAGGCGCTGATTTGTGCTTGTAAACTTGTCACAAATAATAGTAACAATGTCGTTTTTAGAAGAATGTGTAAGATCATTAATGTGAATTAAAAACAATAAAGTACCTATGGTACCAGTGGTGTACCTTGTGGTACACCATTTGTTATAGAAAAAAATTTGAGGAACTATTATTATAAACTACATATTGAGATCTATTAGAAAGATTACTTTCAAACCAAGATGACAGTCAAATTTTAGTGTTGTTGTAGTTTCCGAGTGGTGAGTCAACACACTGATTACTGAGCTGGGAGACATTGCCAGGTATAGCGCCATAAATCGAAACTAAAAAAAAAAAAAAAAAAAAAAAAAAAAAAAATTTTTTTACTCTTTCGGCGCATAGGCCGCACCCCGACTTTTTGATATTTTCTCTTCCAAAAATACTGCGGCCTATACGCCGGCAAATACGGTATGCCATATTAGTAATGCAACACATGTAATGATGATAATGGTATATCAAACTTGGTTTATGTTTTCAAATATATGATTACTCCTTGTAATTTATCTACTTCATTTATATATGTCCTCTTCATCTAGTTTTGAAAACCACATTTTCACCGAAACTGTGCAGCTGATAAATATAAATGAGGATATTGAATGAGGGTATTGTTTTCAAATACCTGATAACGATGATGATGATGATGATGATGATGATGATGATATATTCATTTGTTTTTAGGCTGGTACTCCTCCAGTGCACGGTAGATCAGGAAGCCCTGCTATGGGAGATATCCCATGGGCAGTATCGGTAAGTCATGATTGATGATGTCATCAGGATTGTTTTGAGAGGCATCCTGGAATAGTCTCCTCGGTGCAAGAGTATCGTTTTGATAAGACACAGAGGCAGAGTTAGACCGTTTTTTTTTTTTAATAGGGAGGGGTTGGTTGGATCGTATCTAATGACTTGTTTAGGGAAACAAATACCTCTAGTAGAAGCATAGAAAGGGAAATATGAGAGATATAATGTATAAGGATGGGGATGAGAGAGAGAGAGACACACACAGAGTGACAGAGAGAGAAAGAGAGAAAGAAGGGGGAGGGACATAGATGGAGAGGGGAAGGAGAGAGAGCAAGGAAAGAGAAAGCAAAGGGAAAGCAAAGGGAAAGAGAGAAAAGGGGGGGGGGACTAGAGAGAAGAAAGAAAAAAGGTGGAGGGAGAGAAAAAGGAACTAGAGACAAAGGAAGATAAAGAAAGAGATGGAGGGAGAGATAAGGGAACTAGAGTCAAAGGAAGAGAAAGAAAGAGGTGGAGGAAGAGAGAGAGAGAGAGAGAGAGAGAGAGAGGAAGGGGGGGGGGGGAGAGCAAGAAAAAAGGAAATAAAGACAAAGGAAGATTTTTAAAAAGAGGTGGAGGGAGAGATAAAGACAGAGAAAAAGAGATGGAGGGAGAGATAAAGACAGAGAGAAAAAGAGATGGAAGCAGGTTTTCTATGAGTGCAATTTAATGACAAGACCCTAGAAACGCCTCATTTGTCTTGAGGATATTATGCTGCAGTACTCCCCTGATAAAAGACAGAATTAAAAATCTGTCAGAAGAGATAAATCTCTTTGTTGCACTCAATCCAGTAAGGAAGTACCATATGGCAATTATGATATGATTAGTTTGGTATTAAGAGAGTTGAATGTATGAATCAATGTTTGCATATATAACCCATCGTCTAATATTGCAGTATCAAGTTATGAATTAAATGTCAACACAAGAAGATTGTTATCAATCTCATGTTTATTTAGTTGAAGATAATGCCGGGTTCAAATTGTATGATTCTAATGGCATTCTTATGTTTGAGAAATCATGTTTATTTTTAGCACCAACTACACAGCCATCAAAATCAATTTTCTATGCAGAGTAGTAATTTTATTCATTTAGATGTACATGTAAGTTTACTTTTTGTATACTTTATTTTTCAACCAAATATTGATATCTATTTTGTTTACCCAGGCTGAAGACAAAGCTAAGTATGATGGGATCTTTGACGGTCTCTCTCCCATGGACAACAAACTATCGGGTGACAAGGTCAAAGGTGTCTTTATGAACTCTAAACTACCTGTAGATGTACTCAGCAGGGTGAGACCATTCTCTTTCAATAAACAAATCTGTGATTTGTTTAATTAATTGGTATTATTTTTCCTTTTAATGCTAACCCGCTTTGTTAAGCTGGGTAAAACTACACACTTTCTTTTTAGTTATTCATGTACAGGTAAAGTGTGATGTTATACATGTATATGTAATTTGTAAGTTTTCAGACTTACTGTCAATAAAGTGGAATTGAATTGAACAAAAATAAATATTTTTTTTTCTTTTTCCGAGCGGTTTAAGGCAGTTATTTTAGTCACATCAACATTTGTACGCAAGAGATCAAATCCCGATTTCGACACTTTTTTTTTTAAATGTCAAAATCGGGGGTGCAGCCTATACGGCGCTGCGGCCTTATCGCCGGCAAATACGGTAATATGGTAAATGTGAACACAATAAATGTTAACATGTATTTCTGCATCACAAGTAACATGTCTGAAAACTGAAATGTTTAGTAGAGGATTATTAAGACAAATTATATAGATGTGTATTGTTCTGTAGCAGATTGTGGATAGAACCGCAACTGACAGGGTAGAACACTTCATTGTTAGACATTTCTGCAATGTTTGACAGGTGGTCAAACATGTACAGTATGTTAGTTTTACTCCATGTTTTACAAAACTTACGATCGATGGTAACTTTGCCATCAATGGTAACTACCATGGAAACCTTGATTTTGATTGGCTGTTGAGCCCTGTTACCATGGTAGTTGCCATTGATGGCAAGGTTACCATCAATGGTAAGTTTTATGCAACAGGCCGAGATATCTTCAAAATTGGAAATAACCTTTTGTCCACTAATATATGAATTGATATACAAAACATGCTGGTACATTGTGGTTATGAATTCTTAAGTTGCTGAGCAAAACCCAGCGTTACAAAACTAAGTCATTGAACTTTTGAGCTGCATGTGACTACATTCATCACCATGCGGCTTCTATTTCTGACTAATTTGTTACAGAGATCAGCGAAATATCAACTGGAATGGTTTTCTGGACTTGAATACCAAACATGCTGGTACATTGTACTTGTAGGAACATTACCCAATCATTATCATAGTGGTTATATTGACTCAAATTACCCAACCACTCTCATTTCTGACTAATTTGATACAGATATGGGATCTGAGTGACATCGACAAGGATGGTTTATTAGACAGAGTTGAGTTTTCAGTGGTAAGTTGACTATCAGAAAGTATTTAGGTTGTAAATCAAAAGCTGACAGCAGTGTAGCTACAGAAGCACTTTGTGGCCAGCCTTTTGCATGAAAATATGTAATTGCTTGCAAAATTCAAACTAACTTGGTTTTCAGGCAATCAGACTTGCATATTTCGAATATGCATTTGATGTTTATTTTGTTATTTTTTTCCAAGAGGCCCCAATTTTTCTTTCTTTCCAAAATCAAGTAAAAATCTTTTTTATTTATGCAGTCAACCCTGTCTTAGTGGCCACCTACATGTATCTACATGTACATTGGCCAGTTTTTGTGTTTCCATTGGATGACCGTAATATACAAGTTTGATGTACATACAATATGTGTACAGTATTGTGTAATGTAACTTTTCTGTTAACAAACTCTGCAGGAAATGAAGTGTTGTATTTTTAGATTTAGCCTTTTTAAAAGTACTTGAGAATGCTACATGATAAGTACCAGTAGTGAGTAATGTGCAGCTCATATAACAATTCAAGCATTGTTATTTTTAGTTTCAGGATTAAATAGCATTGCATGTTTATGACTGGTCCATATAAGAATTCAATCTATTTTCTTTCATGCACCAACTGTACGCTATTTTCCTGACACTTAACACATTTGTCAGGAGCTGTACCATTTATTAGCTCTTAAGATAGTAAGCTATTAAAGAGGGATGGGAAAACTGATTTGAATAGACAATCAATATATTCAATTCAAATGAACATTTATTTTCTTCCATTCAATTGACAACATATGTGACATCTGTTCAAACAATACAATTTATACGTAGGAACATAAATATACATGGAAGTAAAGAACTTGTATTACAGGGAATAAGGCGTGAGTCCCGATAAGCAAAGCTTGTAATGGGTACCCCCGAAAACACAAACACATAATATACATTATAAATAGAAGAAAGGAAGAAAGGGAGAGGCAAGGAGGAGAGGAGGATAGAGAGCTTGGAGAAAGAGAAAAGGAAAAGGAGTGCAACATAGTGACAATGGAGTGTATGGCATGTATAAACAACATAATGGCAAGATATAGGTGAAGGCACTGAAGGGTTTAATGTGGGAATATTTGACTGTATTTTTATAGGATAATACTGGATTTATCACCCCTACTTCTGTATGGGTATCGATATAACAGTAGTAAAAGACATGCTTATTGAAGAGTAATATTTTAATAGTTTTAAAGGATAAAGATATATTTTGAGATGTTTTAACAAGTGTTAGGCCATATGCTTTATGAATTGGTGATGTTTGGTAGAATGATTTGAATGTACATTAAATGGAAAATTAATTACCTCTAATATTGATGGAGAAAAAAAATTGTTGCACCATAAATCATCCATCCTGACTGTTTGATCGTACAGATCTCTTGAACTGCATTCACATGTCCTTATCTTGACATCACAGTGACCTTTCTCCTTCCCTCCTTGCCAGGCAATGTACCTTGTATACCGAGCCCTAGAGAAGGACCCTGTCCCTGCTGCTCTCCCAAACAAACTCATCCCACCCTCCAAGAGGAAAAAGCCTGCCCTTCCCGGCTCGGTCTCGGTCCTTCCTGGGCTGCCGTCTGCTGGTGCTCTCAGGAGAGTGACTCCACCCCCTACAAGCCCAGCCCTGCGTAGCGGTTCCCCATCAGTAATGGCTTTCCCACAGCAACCAAGCACGGTCAGTATTCAGTGTTCTTTGTTATGCCTCCGCCACCGAAGGTGGTGCCGGAGGCATCATGTTTTCGGGTTGTCCGTCCGTACGTCCGTCCCGTTTGACCGTTATCACAATATCTCAAGAACCATTTAAGATTTAAACTTAAGACTCGGGAATAGTATTTATCACCATAGGAAGACGATCTGATTAGATTTTGGAGTACGTAGGTCAAAGGTCACAGGTCACAGAGGTCAACTTATGAAATTCCTTGTATTGAGTTTGTTAGCGCGATATCTCAAGAACCATTTGAGATTTAAACTCCAAACTTAAGGATAGTATGTATCACCATAGGAAGACGATCTGATTAGATTTTGGAGCACGTATGTCAAAGGTCAAGGGTCACAGAGGTCAACTTATGAAATTCCATACATTGAGATTGTTATCATGATATCTCAAGAACCACTGGAGATTTAAACTTCAAACTTAGTGATAGTGTGTATCACTATAGGAAAACAATCTGATTACATTTTGGAGCACGTAGGTCAAAGGTCAAGGGTCATAGAGGTCAACTTATGAAATTCCATACATTGAGATTGTTATCATAATATCTCAAGAACCACTGGAGATTTAAACTTCAAACTTAATGATAGTGTGTATCACCATAGGAAGACAATCTGATTAGATTTTGGAGCACGTAGGTCAAAGGTCAAGGGTCACAGAGATCAACTTATGAAATTCCATACATTGAGATTGTTATCATAATATCTCAAGAACCACTGGAGATTTAAACTTCAAACTTAATGATAGTGTGTATCACCATAGGAAGACAATCTGATTAGATTTTGGAGCACGTAGGTCAAAGGTCAAGGGTCACAGAGGTCAACTTATGAAATTCCATACATTGAGATCGTTATCGCGATATCTCAAGAACCACTGGAGAATTTTCACTTCAAACTTAATGATAGTATGTATCACCATATCATAATATCTCAAGAACCACTGGAGATTTAAACTTCAAACTTAATGATAGTGTGTATCACCATAGGAAGACAATCTGATTAGATTTTGGAGCACGTAGGTCAAAGGTCAAGGGTCACAGAGGTCAACTTATGAAATTCCATACATTGAGATTGTTATCATGATATCTCAAGAACCACTGGAGATTTAAACTCCAAACTTGTTTAATTCATTCAATCTTGATCAGTGTCACTATCATCCTCTTCACTTTTCACCTACATCTTGTATTCTTTCCCCTGTCCCTTATTGTTCTTTCTTTATTGATGAGATGATTTGTTAATGTTTTGTTTTTGTTTATTAAAGCCCGTCTGTACTAGTTTGGCCAGGGGGATTAGACCTCCCTGCAAGGTCACTGACAGGTGGTTATCAATCTCAATTAACATTAGAAAAAGCAGATCATGTGGGACCAACAGGCACCGATTAGGCATCGAGGGTGCAAGTAGCTATAAGTAGTGCAGTGGGGCTTTAAGTTATTCATTTTACTCTATCTCCCTATATTAAGAATTAACATTAAAAATTTGGGAACATTTTTTAAAGATTTTTTACTTTTTCATTCAGTCAGTTTTTGTTTAAGATTTGATATTCTTTCCTGGATTCTTTTGATAATTATTTCCTGAATTAATAACAAATTAAAAAATTCCACAGTTTAGGCATTTGCCTGCCAACTTCATTTCAGAATTGGTTGGATTCTGTTCAATAGCCGCCTTTTACAGTGGGATTCTTTTATCCCTCAATGCCTCTTGTAATTTTTCTTTCCAGTTTTCATAAAATTACTACACTTATCCTTACCATCCATCTTGGTTACAAAGTCTTGTTTATTATTCCAATTCGCTTCCTCTTGGTTTATCCTCAGCTAAGTGTTCAATACCTAAAGTGTAGGGACTTAAGAATGCCTTTTTAATGGAATGCTGTGTGCTGTCACAACTTCCTTAAACTGATCGCTTCCTCTTTGGAAGTGTAGAGTTGAGATAAACCAAACAATGAAGCAATCCAAGCAATGAATCACTAAAACAAAAAACAGTTTGAAGTAGACAAAAACTAAGGCTTCTTGCTTTTGTAAGGTTCGAAGGGACACATTTATATTTCACACAGGATATTAGAAAACAGGGCATTGTTATGAGCTGTCGGTCGTTATTTAATTTGATTTATTTTCATACATTGTATAATATTGTTTAAAAAAGGGAAGTTATGCCCAACTCACGTGATCGTAGTTTTGTTTATAGAATAATGCATTTTCAAACTGCCGTTGTACTTCAGGCTGTATTAGGATTAGTTTGGGAGAGCCTATATTGTCAATTTTGCTTCATTCGTGCTCCCTCTACATTTGCTTTATTTGTTATCTTATTCAAGGTTTTTAATACGATGGATAAAGAATGTCACGAGTGCCATGATTCTTTGTACATGGATATCAAGTTGTTAGATTGCTTCTCGGTAAAGTTGGTATCGAGGGACTAATGAATATTATGTCATGTGAAGGAGAGGCTGCCAATGATTATAACTAGAGCATGGACCTTCTGATTCAGTGTACATGGTTAATATGCCGCATTTAGAGCACTGTTGCATGAAGTTTTAAATCTGTGGAATTACTGTGTGGTAACCTGTATATTTGAACTTCAACACAGACCCAAGGATGATATCCCAAGGGGTGTTGTATCAAGCAGAAAAGGCACTTAATAAATTGCAACTATTCTTATCGAACAATCAGCACTCAACTTTGAAAAACTGAATGATGAATCTGTGATTCTGATTGGCTTATGATATCAAACTGCTGAATTTGACTACTAATGTTATGAAATGGAATTAACTTTAACGTAATGATGTTTGAAATCCCTTTTAGGTTGGGGCTGGTAGCACTGCTCCTTGGGTAGTTACATCAGAGGATAGCGCCAACTGCTACATCTTGTTTAAGCAGCTTGACACAGAGATGAAAGGTTACCTAAACGGTGACCAGGTCAAACCATCACTTCTAGAAACCGGTCTACCACACCAGACACTTGCTCATATTTGGTAGGTGTTTCTTATTCTTCTAATATCCTAGAATATTACATTCAAGTTTCAAGTTTCAAGTTTATTTATTTACACTTTATATCGAAAGTAACATAATTGAACACAATATACATAATGATAATCATAACTAATCATACAATAAAGGAACTTAATATACATGGTAATAGTTATAACAAAAGATAAATCATAAGTATGATAAGTACATTGAAAAAGCTAAATAAAGTGGGGGATCTACTGAAAAGCAAAGCTTGTATTATGTAGGTCCCAATCAATGCAGTTATGTATATAAATTAGGATATTCAAATAAACATTAGGTATAAACATAAGATATTCTTAAATTTTGAAACCAATCTTAGAATTACATTTCATATTTTAGTCTGGAATCATCACTTCTAAACCTAATATGATAGTAAATATGATGTTTTATAACATGGTTTTACTAATGACCGGTGACCGGTCATTAGAATTGGATAATGACCGGTCATGATCCAAGTTATGCTTTAGGCAAAATAAATGCCTGGTCACGTGTAGGCTTTCAACCAATCATATGATTAGGATCCAGGTCATCATCTTATAATACATAATGATGCCCGATACATATTATTTATAGAACCCATGATTTATTTTTATTTTTACAGGAATCTATGCGACATCAAGCGGACCGGTCAGTTAAACCCTGATCAGTTTGCCCTGTCAATGTACCTAGTAAATCAAGCCAAGGCAGGCGTCATGCCGCCACATCAACTCACCCTTGAGATGATACCACCAACATTCAGACCTAAACCAGGGGGGACAGAACCAGGACTAGCGGTAAGTACACAGACAGGTCTAGACCCTCACTACCCCATCAGTAACTTGAATTGAATAGAATTGAGTTCAGAGTTTTCCAAAACTCCAAACTATTTGGGTTTTCCTGCTCAAATTGGTTCTGATTATTTTTATTTTGCACTGTTTCATAGTTTAAAAAGATATAAATATAAATGAAATGAAGCAGTGCGAAGAAACATACATAAAATCAACAAGAAACAGTCAAACCTGCTTTAGTGACCACTTGCCTGAATGGAAGAAAATAAATGTTGATTTGAATTGAAATGAATTACCCTATTGATCTGACTGTTTGTGATGCAGGAATTGGGATCGATCCCCGGAGGAGCCCCTGGAGACTTCTCAGCTATCAAGGAGCTTGACGCTATCAGTAAGGAGATCGATATCCTTGGCAAGGAGAAGGGCCAGCTCCAGACGGATATACAGAAGAAAGAGGAGCTCATTAAGATGAAGAACATGGAAGTTCAGGTTGGTTGATGAATTGGACCCCTTTCTTAAAGCCCCACTGTCCTACTTGTAGCTACTTGCGCCCTCTATATACAAACAGTGCCTTAACTGTGCCCGTTGGTCCCCCATGATCCTCTTTTTCTAATGTTAATTGAGATTGATAACCACCTGTCAGTGACCGTGCAGGGAGGTTTAATCCCTCATGGCCAAACTAGTACAGACAGGCTTTAACTTGCCTCACAAATAACCTCCCTGGGCCATGTCGTATTTATCATGGGATAGATATACCAAATGCTTCAAGATTATTTGACCATTTCCAGTGCAAAATTAATCTGTACTGGTTTTAAAAGGGTTGTCATGGAGCTAATCAAGACCGGAAATAATGATAATAATAATACTCAGTTTTTATATAGCGCTTATTACAATCACTAAGCTTCCAAACTTGGAGATTATTACCCCGGCTTTAGCTGTGCTGCCATCACAGCGATCTTCTAAAATTGTCTTTTACTATTATTAGATTATTCCATTTTTTTCTTCTTCTCTCAACCCTTTTATAAACCTCTTCCTTTCTATTTTATAAACCTCTTCCTTTCTATCTGTACTTCTTTATTTCTCTGTTATCTTATACATATTTGTTGAAAGTTTTGAATAAAATATAAGTATATTATATTTCTGATTTTGATACCAGGGTCTCCAGACAGAGCTGGACAAATCCTCGGCCCAGGTCAAGCAGCTAGAAAACCAGAAATCAGAGGCCCAGAGAAGACTAGATGATCTGGACCAGCAGAAGACCAAATTAGAGGGTCTACTCACAGAGGTCCAATCCCAGTGTCAAGAGGTCCAGAAGAGCGTAGACTCATTGCGAGGACAGATCAGTTCACAACAGAGCAACGTCAAGGTGGGCCACAGACTTTATTGTCTAATAATAATAGTAGTAGTAAACATTCGTAATGCCCATTGTCTGTCAAAATTGACACTCTTGGTGCAGTTGTGAGAAATTGGTATAATTGTGGGCATACATATTTATATTCGAGAGAAGAAAGCAAAAGACACATAAATTGAATATACTTCAGGACATAATTTTGCAATATAGAATTAAAAGATCATTATCAACATAAAGCAAAGTTACATCCGCTTAATGTACACGTTTGAATTGAACTGTATATAAGAGATACTTTTAATAGTCAATAGAAAGTAAATTACAATGATACAATGACAATGAATGTAATGACTTTGTATTCTATTGTTTTTTTTAAACAGGCCTTAGTCATTTGTGTACCTAAGTTGGTTCCGTGTTCTCAGCTCTTAAAGTCCTTGAAAAAAAAATTTGAAGCTTGCACAACCACTGTATTCACCCAATCATTGTTTTATCATGAATGTACATGTATTTTTATTTGTTGTTGCCAAGTGAATGGCAGAAAATGAAAGGTGGAAATTAAACAATAGTTTTAGGTTGACTTTGGGTACTTTTGCAGTGTTTTTGGTGTAATATATATTTTGCGAGTTTATGTAAGTGAACTTTGCGAGGTCATTATATTGTCACCAGTTCGATTGGCATGCCAATTTAACTGGTATTTCACAATGGTATTGAAGAACAATATAATTTAATACAAGTGATGGATGTGAGGCATATGTCCAGTTTGTTACAAGTAAGGAGATCATTTATAACAGTTTGTACCAAACTAATCATTTTTTGTATTGAAAGGAAATAGTTAATTGTTATTAATACTAGCGTTTAATGCTTTCATAAACCTTTCATTCTAATAAGTTCTTGTCCCAATCCTATACTCACATGATGCGCTAGATCACTAAATCTCTTTGTAGAAAATTTACGAAAATAGACTTTTAACCTTGTTTAACATGAACCTTGCATCAGAGTGCAGTATCAAACACAGTAACATTCAAAACCGTGCCCCAAACTTCATTTCATTCTTATACACATAGTCCCTTTGGGTCAATTCCAAGTGTTACAGAATGACATTTCCAGGGAAATTTTCAATTTTGAAAAAAAAAACACAAATTATAAACATTTTAATAAAAATGTACCAATTGATAATGTAAAATATAAACTAATATGAGGTACTTTCAACATCAGTTGAGCTTCCTGTCAACCATTCATCATATTTATAAATTATTGAAATTTAAAAAGCTTAGTTTAATAATGTATGGCCAAAATATAACCTTCCGTAATGCTTGTAATTGACCTTTGACCGTTGTAGATCCCTCTATCATAATCACAATGAATTCATATTCCAAAATCCCCCTATCCTTCCCCAATCATAGATCCTCTCCTTCTTACTAATTTTCTACTTTTTAGAAGAAAAAGCTCAAGGGTGAAGAAGCGAAGAAAGCTATAGTCAAGGTAACAGGCATGATGCGATCCTTCGTGATCAAGAGAGATCATAGGGCAGCATGTATGAATGACTAGTATGCATGCAAGGCATGGTTCAGAGATGCTCACGTTACAGATGCTCATCATTTGCAATCGTATAGACACACATTGTATGTCTCGAGTCCGTATTCAACTAATTCAATGTAACTTGACACTGAGTCTTGAGTCTTGTTTAACAGAGGGAAAATGCAGACCCTGGTCAAACTTTATTTGTTCTTTATCACACTCACTGCCAAACCGACTCTACTTGGACTCCAAACGAAACTGATTCTTTCAAAATAACAAAACAATTTGTGTTGTCTGTTGGAATTCTGATGTCTGGAAGTCATTGGTGTGACTGATGTGTTAAGTTTACTTTAGACCCAGTTTAAACCCAGTTTCAAGTTTCAATATTAGTAGAACACAGGACAGGCTTTAGACTTTCAATGTGTTTACGTAAGGAGAGGCTTTTGTTATAAAGAAAGAAATTTGATTGGAACAAGTGGTAGCTACCGTATATAACGGTGTATAAACCGCACTTTTTTGCCGCCGAAAAATTTTCAAAGTCGGGGGTGCGGTTTATACACGGTACACCAAAAGTTTTAAAGTTTCAATTTATGCCCCTCCACCTGGCGCTATGCCTGGCAATGTCTCCCAGCTCGGTAATCGGTGTGTTGACTCACCACTCGGAAACTAGAACAACATTCAAATTTGTCTGTCATCTTGGTTTGAAAGTAATCTTTCTGATAGATCTCAATATGTAGTTTATAATAATAATTCCTCCAATTTTTCTTCTATTACATGGTGTACCACAAGGTTCTATCCTAGGTCCCTACTGTTTTTTAATTTACAGTACCGTAATGATCTTACACACACAAAAAAAAAAATCTCGGCAAAAAAAAAAAAAAAAAAAAAAAAAAGTTTTTTTTTTTTTTTTTTTTTTTTTTTTTAAGGGCGAAAAAGAGGGGTGCGGTTAATACACGAGGGCGGTTTATACAACGTTATTTACGGTACTGTCAAAATCTACACCAGAAAAAATCTAAAATCCAACATATTATAAATGTATTCTATGAGAGAGCAAATTGTTGTTTGGACTTATTGATTAAGTAGTTATAACAAAGGATTTGATTGATCTGGTTCTTTTTTCAACCATCAAACTTCAACAAAACTCTATTTTAGAGTGCATGAGATAATACAAAATCACGATATCAATTGCAAAGGTATGATGCATGGATATCTGTGCTACAGTGATTATGGGATGAAAGTGAAACCCTCATCAAATCATTTATAAAATCATAAAACGAAAGCCTCTTCTTACCAAACAATTGCAATTGATGTGCATCATTAGTAGATCTACAGAGAGAAACTCACATGATCATATTGTATGCTAATTATCTTTCTTTTTTTTATTCCCTTTTCTTTGTATGATGATATGTACCGTATATGATCATGCGTGTGTGATCACTTGTGTGTATGTTCTGTGTGATTGTGTGTATGTTCTTTGTGATTGTGGTTGTGTGTGTGTGTCTATGATGTGTCACGTAATGGTGATTCGCTGCTCCCAGGCCCAGGAAGAAGAACTGAAGACGGCACAGACAGAGCTGATCACCCTGAGGAAGGAGGAGCAGCAGCTTGAGCAGCAGGTGGAAACGGGGAAGTCCCAGCTGACCACAGTGGAGCAAAGCCTCAACCAAACAAACCAACAAATCACAGAGGTATAAAAAAATAACTTACATGGAAAGAAAAAAAATGTAATGTTCTCTGGTTATCATCCAATTCATTCTTACACTCACTTCATCTCACTTTTCCTTTTTTTTTTGTATACCCCCCCCCCCCCCCTCCTCTCTCTTTCTCTCTCCATCTATCTATGTTGGCACAATTCTGTCTCCCCTTAGACTCTTTTTCTCCATATCTCTCTTCTTCAACCCTCTCTCTCTGCCCATTCCTGTCTTCCCATGTCTGCATCTTTTTCATTCTCTGTCTTAATCTTTCTCTCTCTCATACTCTCTTGCTCGATTGCTTCCTATCTATCTTTCTCTTCATTTTTATTCTCTTATTTTCTTGCAAGATATATAAGAATTAAGAGTATTCTATTCACATCTTCATTCTTCAAAAATTAGAATATAATAACACTTTTATAATTTGAAAGAAGTTTTCTATTATCATCAGATTAATTTCTGTACAGTATTAAATCAAATATTTCAATCTTCACAAAGGGAAATCATTTTAAACTATGTGCTTCCAAGATGATATCTTTTTTAATATTACTTTAACATTATATTTCTGTGATTTTTCAGCTCCACACGAAGCTATCCTCGCTGCGTGATACCAAGACCAAGTTAAATGGAACCATGTCTCAGATCAGTCAGGCTATGGACACAGCTAACTCCACGGGTACCATGCCACAAATCGATGAGTTTGGATCGTTCAACGACTCCAAGTTTGGTCTCTCTCATGATGATATCTTCAGTAGCAGGGCAACAGTAAGTCCTTGGTCTCAGTTATACGCACTTTCTTAAAGCGGGACTGCACTACTCGTATCTACTTGCGCCCTTTATTTAGCCAACAATGCCTCAGCGGTATCTGTTGATCCCCCATGATCCCCTTTTTCTTTTGTTAATTGAGAGCTGATTTGATGAGATAACCACCTACCAGTGACCACTGCAGCAAGGAGGTCTAATCCATCCTGGCCAAACTAGTGCAGATAGGCTTTAAAAGACGAAAATTCACACATTTCTACTTGGGGGGGGGGGGGGGGGGGGGTAACAGACAATTACTTCATGTATTGGAGATTATTAGAGATGATTATTATGTGTAGTGTCAGGAGTATATTACCGGTAGTCAAATAGACTAGTATTGAAATCATTGTAATTGTGATAATAATTGTAGAAACCATAATGCTACTGATTGTAGTGGTATATGGTTATGAAGATTGAAGCATTGATGATAATTGCATTAATGCTCAAGAGGAGGCCATGCATGAAGTTCGTCATGAAAATTGGGTTGTAAGATTATAGTAGGGATGAATAGATGGTTCTTCATGCTTTTGAACAATGTTGTGCAGATGGCGATGATGGTCATAGAGAGTGGTTATTCAGGGATCACTGATGAAGAGTATGATTATGGGGTTATACAAATAACAATATTGTAATGTAGAAGATTATCAAGTATTATAAGATGATGAAGCGGATCCTAACAAAATGATTGGTTGAAAGCGTACAATTGACCAGGCATTTATTTTGCCTATTAAACACGTAATTTTACTAATGACCAGTCATTAGTAAATACTTATGACCGATCATTAGTAAAATAATGTTATAAAACAAATAATACACATTTCTTTCGGGCATTAGTAAATTTACCCACACTCGGTATCTTCGAAACAGTCCAAACACCCTCGGCTATCACCTCTGGCGTGTAAGACGGTTCCAAAGGTACCTTGTGTGGGTAATTCTTACTAATGCCCTCACTGCTGTGTATTATTTGTGTATGGTTTTTATCATTATGAAGCTCATTGTGACAATCAAACTGACTGCATATTTTTTTATATGATTTAAAATATATGATGATGAAAATATTAGACACATTTGTCTCTCTTCTCATGATGTAGGCCGGTAGCAGTAGTCCTGTGAGTAGCTTGAGTGGATTCAGCATCGGGTCAGAGGTTAACAGCAAGACAGGAGATACCGCTGATGATAAGGTAACAGTTTCTCTCTCATTCATAATAATAATAATATTCAGTGTTTATATAGCGCTCAATACACCTGTACATCGATCCAACGATGTGCCTACACGCTTTACAGATATATATTATTATATTACCCTGGTCATCGGATTCAGGCTCACCCGCACACAATGTATGCACGTTTTCCACTCCCTGGGGAGCATTCCACGTACAGTGTATACTGTAAACGCTGTTACTTTCGCGTGATTAATTTTTCACGCTGAGCGACCCCAAAACATATTCGCTGGTTCTTAAATTCGCATTGCACGCAATTCAGATCGTTCAATACTCGCATAAGAAGTCATACTTATATTTTTCACGAGTTCTGAAATTCATGCTTGCCGATCTTAGCGCGAAATTCGCGAAAAATTAATGAACCGCAAATATTTTTACTCTTTACAGTATCTCAGAGGTAGTGTCAATTACTTTATGATATGTGGGTGTATAATCATGATTTTGCCAAAGTATTAAAGAGAGAGGGTCATCGGTTTCCAAGCGCAGAAGGGCATAATTCGCTGACACCAGACTTGGTGGAAATACCATTAATGGGTGAACAAGTCTAGAGACAGCAAACCCATAGGCCAATCAAGAAATACCCCCTTGTCTCTCGGAGAGTTTTAGGGTGATGCAAATGTCAGATAATGACTTTACTGTATATATGGGAAATAGGTGGATCATTACATGAAGCCTGTTAGTCATAAAACTGAAGGCTAATCTTCAACCTATACATCTATACTTTGGGGGAAATCCCATAAAAATTAAATGTTCTTGTGAAAAATGAAATGTGGTTTTAATTAAAAGGTGACAGTGTGATGATTGAATATTATAAAAGATTATAACAAATCTTCTTAGGAGAAGAACAGGTCCTTGACGTTATATAATTACATTCTTGGGAGCTTATTAGAACTCACAAGAACACACTTGATGCAAAATCTCATCATCCAGTGATAACATTTACATTCTATTTTGATTTAATGTACAGGATGATCCGTTCAAGTCTAAGGACCCATTTGCTGGCATGGGAGACGTAACATCCTCAGATCCCTTCCAAGCTGAAGACCCTTTCAAAGACTGTAAGTACCCTTCATTATATAAAGAGATCTGGGGAGTGTTTCACAAAGACTAAGATCAACTTTAAGTTGGACTTCACTATGGCAGGCCATTCGTGCCTTAGTTCCTCTAACCATTCCTGGCATTGGTTTCTCAAGGGACATATATTGTGGTCACAAATCTACAGAATTTGTTACTGATAGTTCATTATTGAAGGAAAATTGAAATATCATCTAAAGATCATAATTGAGAGCCCAATAGTGAGAGCGACCAGTGGCATGAACGGCCTGCCATAGTTAAGTCCAACTTAAAGTCGAATTAGTCTTTGTGAAACACTCCCCTGTAACTGTAAGTCTCCAGTTCTATTATTTTTCTACACCAAATTCATTTTCCAGTATGGAACATATCTTTCAATACATGGCATGACATAATGTAATTTTAATTGACAGGCTTGTGTGCCAGGTCAGTCTTCAACATCACACACGTTGTGATATAGTGAGGAATACAGTTAATATCAAAATGCTAAGGTGTATAGGTTTAACTTGAAGTACTTGTGGTTCAGTAGATTTGTGTACCAAATACAACTACTGGCTGGCATACTGGGTCGTTAATGTTTAAAAGAACATTTTTTCTTCATGAACATCTTGCATTAGATTTTTCACAGCATGCTATTGATATTCATTGTTTTTTTCTCAACAGCTGATCCTTTCAAATCCGAAGGAGGAGATCCCTTCAAGAGCGAGGCCTTCCAGGCCAACCCATTTGGCGGAGACCCTTTCAAGAGTGATCCCTTTGGCACAGGAGCCACCACCACAAACTCTGAGGACCCCTTCAGCGGCGGATCCGCAAACAATTCCAACGACCCTTTCTCTTCGTCATCCCCAGGGTCCACCGACCCGTTTGGAGGATCGACGGCAGCGAAGGATCCGTTTGTAGGCGGCGATCTATTCGCATCAAAATCTGGTGACCCCTTCGGGTCAAGCTCATCAGACAATAAGAATGATCCTTTTGCTCCGAAAGGCTCAACAACAGACAGTGATCCCTTTGCAGCTAAAAGTTCAATGACCGGGGATGACCCTTTTGCGTCTAAATCGCCAGCAACGAGCGGTGACCCGTTTGCGTCAAAGGCGACGAAGAGCGATGACCCGTTTGCGGGTAGCACGAATGCAAGTGACCCATTTGCAGGGTCAACGAACACTGATGACCCATTCAAAGGAAGTGATCCCTTTGCTTCTGAATCGATAGGAGGATTAACAAATGGCAGTGCAGAGAGTAAGTTTTGGATATCTTGGGCTGCAGATATTTACCTGTAGAGCGTTTATAGGAGAGTGTTAATTGCTTCTTAATCATTTGTGGTCTTTGACTTATATGTGGTATATGATGTGATACAAAATTTTAATTACCATAGTTTTTTGTTCTTACAAAGAGTTGGAAAGAGATGGAATTATGTAACTAGATAATAAATGTGATTGAATTTTAACCCTAAGATAATCAGAGCTAATTCAATGAGGAAGTTGAATCATTGTTTCATTCTTTCAATGTTCATATATATACATACATGTAGAATTAACAACTAAATTATTCATACCCCTTTTAAATTTGATGCTTTTTGTGTTTTTCGTAACTGAAGAATGAAAGGTAGCTTGTTGAATTAGGGCCTTTATTAAATACTTGTAGATGTAAGCTTTAATTTGTCACATTCTCAAGAATCATAAGTCGGAACAAATCAATTTTTCACATACTTTTAAAATTACAAGACTTGGTAAAGGTATGAATATTCTAGTTGTTAACTATAAATACACATGTTTTGCTTGATTGACTTTTGATTGATTTTAGGTCAAAGTCAAGCTTGCCAGCACTGCTAATCATACTTCAAATATCATTTTTAATGATTATTTTTTTTCTTCTCCATAGCTAAAACAAGTGATCCCTTTGGGTCAATAGATCCATTTGGAGGTAGTGCTTTCAAGGAAGACTCATTCAGCAAAGTAAGTGGAATTAATTTAGTAGATATTGTCATTCATAGAGTTTGTTAAAGCTGATGATATAGTTAAAGGGGGTTTAAACTGACGAATACAGGGGAAAAGTTTTCCTCATGCTTCGGTTTCACGTATGTTGCACGACGTGATTGCTGCGGTTGCGTCCGTAGTCGTATTATACCTGATTGGCTCCGAGTCAGGCCACGGGAAAGACACGTAGTCTCGTCAGTTTACAATCCCTTTAAATTTGATACCTGTTTAATCTTCCACATCAGAGCCTTGACACATCATTCATTAGTAATAATTGCCGCTCTTGGATAATGTTGACATTTGCTTAAACATACTTCCAGTGTTAAAGGATCATGACTGTTACATGCCCCTGTTACCATGATAGTTATGTTGGAGGTCAGGACAAGTTCGCCGACATCCCATTGAAACATGTGTATTAAAACTAACACGCCTTTCAATGGGATGTCACTGAACTTGTATTTTGACGATTTGTAACGATGCCCAGGGCCCCGTCTTACAAAGAGTTGTGATTGATCCAAATCAATCACAAGTTTGCAGTCTCATATCTCTTATGTACATAGTTGCGATTGATATCAACTCTTTGTAATACGATGCCCTGGAGTGCATTTTTTTTATTAATAAATGTAGATTAATATCTTGCCAATGGACATTGGTGGTGTGGCGGGACTCGAACCATGGACCCCGTGATTCACAGTCCAACGACGTATCCACTAGACCACAACACCTCTAGTGACCTTTGCTTATGCTCTCTTCCTTTTCAGAGCTCCAGTACTGATACGTTCAGCAGTGATCCTTTCAGTCGTCAGGAGGACACCCCGGCGCTACCCCCAAAGAAAAGCAGAGGGCCCAGCACCTCTACCACCGCCAAGCCTGCCTCCAGCTCACCAAGTACTACGTCCACTGCTAGCGACCCCTTCCAGGCTTTCACCACCAACTCCACCCCCCACAGCGACCCCTTTGCCAAAGCCGACTCCTCCGCCAGCACCAATGACCCCTTCGCATCAACAGGGTCCGCGGGGGGCAAGGTCAACAGCTCCAATGACCCCTTTGCCCCCTCGGGGGCTGGGAAGGATCCCTTTGGTGGTAGTGGAGGAGGGAGTGATCCGTTTTCAGGGGGAGGAGATCCGTTTGGTGGCAGTGCTGGAGGCAAAGCTGATAGTGGCTCAGATCCATTTGCAAACTTTGCTGATTTTGGCAGTGCCAAGGTGAGTGTTCACCCCCTCTGAACATGAAATGATTTTCCTTCTAAAAATTTAACAACATGTGAGATTAGAGGTCCATCTAAATTGGAATCCGTAGACAATCTTCTATATTTCATACATCTACCAATTGTTTAGAATTAGGACTTTTTAACCAAGAACTTTGAACTAGTAGCATGTACATGTATGTACAGTAGCATGTTGAACCTGATAGCGATGCATTGTCAACTGAGTGAACTAGTATAGCATGTGTGTTTATAAGTGAAATCTAAGAACATTAGTACCATGTATCTTCAGGTAGCCGTTCCCACCGTTTAAAATGATACAATATCAATTCATTACTAGAAATACTAAACAAATATAATTTACCTTCATATTATTGTATTCGTCCATTACAATTATGCCTGAAATGGGTTATTGCTCTCGTTAATGTATTGGAGATCAGTAAACTGACAAAAAATGCAGGTCTAAGCTTTATAATAATGAATGGCTTGGTGGAAGCTGGAACTAACATTGAAATACACTGAAGCCGGCTATGTTACTGTTTAAAACACTCCATCCCTTGGATAGAATGTCGAATGAGGTCTCATGTAGAGGAGAGTCTAAACCTTCGCACGTTAAGAACCCACTGCACTATTTGTTTGAGAGTAGCGGGAAACCCGGGTGCAGGGATCCACCTGCACTTCTCCAACCATTTATATAAGGAGGAGAGAAGGAGGGTCAAATAATGATAATTATAACATCTTGTAGAGTGAATACAATGCTAGGTTCTGACTTTATTCTAACAATATTTTTCCTGCACCTTTCTGCAATGTTTTGTACAGCAGGAGCAGTGAGACCATTATTAACCACAACCAAGGCAAGAGATTCATCTATAACTTATAATCCATCCCCCCTCGTGTGCTACATAGAGTACCCCCCAAAACCACCTGTTCATCTATCTAATCTATCTTATTAACCTCCATGCTGAATGCTCCAGTAATGCATCATATTTAGAATTATTTCCTAATTACATATGTACATATACATTTTCATGTACTGGTATACTCTTCCTTCTGTTGTCGGTTGAGAAAAATAGGCAGAAGAATGTTGCTGCACAGACCATTCTCTCTACTGTATGCTACATGTGGTTTTTGTATAGAAATTGTATGCCAGACGTGTGCTCCAGTCCTGGGACCCGTTTCACAAAGCCTAGTCAATGTCAAGTGACAAAAATCAGTGACAAATCTGCTGATAACCAATCACAAGCAAGGATTTCACTAGCTTATAACAAAAACTGTCATCTGTCACTGATGACAAGTTTTGTGAAATGGGGGCCCTGGGGTATTGTCTCACAGTCCATTTCTAACACCACATGTAGTTAAACTCCTAACTTTAAACGTGGCCCATAACATAACACTACTATCCCTACTCCAAACCTTAACCCTACCGTTAACACCTAACTTATTCCTACCCCTTGTAAATTTGATGTTTTTTGTGTTTTTCATAACTCAAGAGTGAAAAGTGGACTGGTTGAATTAGGGCCTTTTTAAAAAAATGACAAAACTTGGTAAGGGTATCTTAATTGTTAACTGATCCTATACAGCTTGGAGCATAATGTAAAATCCCCATTTTTCCTACATTCATTAGCAGACGTTCTTCTACGTATTGTTTACATGTACGTTATGTATCATTCTCCTTTTCAAAGATGAAGTTATGAAACAGTTATGAATAAACTGAAAAGTCTCTTCATAGCCATTCTGTACTATACATCCCATTTAAAGACCATCTACATAACTGTGGAACTATGTTTCATTGTATTACTGCTTTGTGTCTACTTGAATGAAATAAATGTTAATTTCAACCAGCATGAAATGCAAATACGTGCAAGAAAGCTCTGTCATTAAAAGTGCATGGCAACGGTAAAGTTACCTCCATAAAATGATTCAACATAATCATAAGTCTTGCTAAAAAAAATGGAATAAAAGAAAGAGGAATAGCTGATAAAGTTATTGAATATGTTCACATAGACAGTTTACGTGTTGCGTAGAAAGGTATCCCCTGGAAATATTTACATTCGGGCAGTTTTGTAGAGAAAGACAAGAAGGATAAAAGAAGCAAAACCCTGTTTAACTAAAAATTTGTTGCCATGATCCCGTCTAAATATCGTGCCTTTTCTCAAGAAAAGAATAGGTTAACTTTTTTGCAAGTTGCATTGATTGTCAGAATGAAGTTTCATTCATTTCCCTGACTCATTCCAAAAACTGCACATTGCCTTTTGATGATGTTGGAACATATATAGATTTAGTCTTCATAATTGATTTGATAATACAAGGCATGTGTGCTGCCTCAAATTAAAATGGTACAGAGTTTCTGCCTAGACTAGAACAAATATTTTGCCAGGGTTTGTGTCAGATTTTGGAAGCCAATATGCATGTGCACTGATATGGTGCTTGTGGATAGTAAACTAGATCAGAAAGTGTACCATAATTTTGCATCAAATCAAAATTGCCCAAATTTAATCTAGAGACTAAAATTTGCTAGATATAGATAAATATTTAATAGAACTTAAAAGCACGGCTGCATGCACATGCATGGAAGTGTGTATCACATGTACTACAGTAGTATTGAGAATAAAATACCGGTATCTAGAATTTACATGAATATTGTATGCATGTTTAAATGCATCTTGTGTATTCAATTATGGGTAGAAACGTTTAAACAGCACCATATGTAGTCCCATATGTAGTCCCATACCAAACCAACCTTATCCACATAGAAAGTAACCATCCCTCCATTATTTGTACAGTTGTATGCAATAACAAACAATCTCATGCATCATTGAAATCGTAACAAGATCTCTTCGGTTAACTAACTAACTTCATTAAAATTTTGGGTTATTATTGTGTAATATAATACTGTACAAGTACATTGCATACCTACATTTTATGTTGATCATTTGTCCTTCAAAAAGCTATTGTTTTGATTGTCAAGCTCAGAGATTGTCAAAATAACCTAGCCCCTTTAGGGGTCAACATATCTTATTCTTGTGCATGCAACTTGTTTCCTGCCAATCACATGATTTACAGATTATATATCAGTCCTTCATTTACCTCCTTAAAACTAGGCATTTTGGCAGTGATAGTAAAATGGATGAAATAGATGAATTGCATTAGTATTGGCATGAAACCATGAAGCTTACATTAAACATGTAGAAGGAAAAAAGTAGAAGAAAGTGCATATTGAATTAGTTTAGAGCCTTGCTCACTAGATATAGCATGAAATTTGGTACTGAACACATTCAAGTTGTGAGTTTAATATTAATAGTTAAATGGATGAAGAAAAATGCTCTAAATTAGATCATTTGCATGAATTCAAGCCTGCATTCTTAAAACAAATTTATGCAATGCTAATTTGAAGAGGAGTAATGTATGAAAGTAAGTATACATGTAAATACACATACATGTACTAGCCCGAAACGTCATATTGATAGGAAAAGCAGCTATTATTTGAATTGTTTCCTCGCTGAAGCGAGTACATGTAGTTACCATTGCAAGTTCTGTGATAATCTGATGATTTTTCTGGCATTTATGCAAATACCTGCTTGTTGATGATTTTTAAATCAATGCATGTATTCAAATTTTTCAAATTTCAAATGTGAGAGTATTCATGTCTAAAGGAAGGTCTAATTGGTTATTGTTTCTTGTTTTGTTTCAGTTTGAAGGAAAACCATTAAGTGAGGACGACCAACTGGTGTGGGCCGTCAAAGAAGCACAAAAGGAAGAAGAAAGACAAAAACAACTTGCCATTCAGGAGGAGAATGACCTTAAGAGGGCGCTACAGTTAAGTCAGGATGAAGTGGGTTCATCAGAGGCATAGCATGATGCTCTGGGTTCCTCAGGATCCTGACCTGACCGTAAAACTTTGAGAACACCACCATGTTCACATGCAGACTGTTTAGCATTGGCGAATTAATGAACATTTTCACATGCTAGTATTGTTGTGCTCTGTTTATTTGTGTACCTTCTCGAGAAAAAGAAATCTAGACATGAACATTTTGTCTGTTTTGTGACACTTCATCAAGATAATGGTTTAAATAGTAAACATAAAGGAATGGGGAACAAGGTCATGGACTCTTACGGAGATCTGCACCCCAAGATTTTGCCTTCTGCTTATGGGCTGCTACTAAACAAAGAAGAACGGAAAGCAAGCTCATTCACGATAATGATTAGATTTACATATCAAGATTTAGCATGTTTGTTACACATCAAGATTTTCATCGTACGAAACTTAGAGGAATGAAAAGAAAGTGAAAACGTTGGCAGGTTTCCTGCAAGGTGAAGATAAAGGAAACTCGTCATGCTGCATGGAAGGTTGACGTTCATGCTGATGATTTTGTAGTTGTCGCTTCCATGGAAGGGATTCTCTTCTGAAAGGACGATGATTTGCAGGAGCTGGGTTTAATATAAGGAGTAGCATGCTGCAGCCTCGTGCAATGTCATCAGAATGTCATCCATCCCATCATAGTTTCCACCTTTGTGACCTACACACGTATCATTAACCTTATGAGTGAGTGACAGCATGACATAGATGTGTTATAAAACAATGTTGACCAGTTTGTATGGTTTGGAGTCATATGACACCCTACCAGTCATGTGACATCCTACCAGTCATGTGACATCCTACCAGTCATTCTTCGCCAGTTTGTATGGTTTTGAGTCATGTGACAACCCACTGAAGTCATGTGACACCCTACCAGTCATGTGACACCCTAACAGTCATGTGACATCCTACCAGTCATGTGACATGACCGTCAATGATCACTTATCTGACAATGATGCTTTCATCGCTGACATGTCCAATTTCATCCCCCATTTAATTTTGTGTTCACTCTCCATGGATCAATTAAGATGCTATCTAAATGATGTATTAAAGGCCACTTATAGATCATTATATTCCCTCTTACCAAAGGGGGCTGTTTAACTCTTTTCTGTAGTCTTGTTGATATTTATCTGTAGAGATTGTGCTTTCTTCCCTATTAAAAGGCTCGTTCAGATATGAGGAGCAAAACCGCTGCTTTTTTAAAAAATGATGATGTAAAGTGTTATACACTTCACCTTTCTTTATCTTATAACACAGAGCTCAATAATATGAGCAGGACCTTTGTTACGGGCAGTTGCCCTTCGTTTAGGCGTGAAAAACCAGCGGTACGTTTTTTGAGGTGGTTTACCTTACCGTATATCTGAACAAGCCTTAACCATCCTATCTGGTGTGAGGTTTGTTTAAATTACTTCTCATCTTAGATTAGAGTTTTCTTGATAACATGATGTAGATATTGTTGATGTTATCCTATATAGCGAGTTGGGACTGCGTGGTGTATCTTGATAATCCATCTTTGTGCTGTACATTTTCTTCTCTCTTCCAGTGATTAATTCACAGAACTATTTATGAAATAAAATTTGTCGATCGTTGACCAAACTCTTTAGTGATCACGAAACGATGTAGTACAGTCACTGTGGTTATTTGATTTATTGCTAATAGTTAATATATACATGTACATATTTGATACATGTTTATTCCTGTCTTTGCCTTCTCCATGCTTTCACATGTACATAATATGTTATTTGACTTAATCACTTTCAAATACAGAATGGTCTTTGTTAATCATGGATGTGTTTTATTGATGTGGTACCTGTGAGTCTGGGTTTAGGTTAACAAGTGTTTATTTATTGAATGAAGGTTGACCTTGTAAAGCTGTTGACATTCGTTGGTAGAGCAGAGGTCTCCGGGTAACGGGGAGGTCCTGGTTCAACACCAATTTGATAGGCTAGTACCCTTTGGTAAGGCATCAATTCTCAACACCAAGTCTCTCAGATGACCTAAAGCCGTCTGTCCCCTGGTTGCTTGCTTACAAGCATACATATGCTTTCTTAGCAGTCAGGTAAAACAAAACCAGCCAACCAACATCATGATCAAAACAGATTGGTTTTACCTTACTTGTGTCAGCGGTTTCTTAATCTGAAGGTGATGCCCCCTAGGGGTGTTATGGGGGTAATTATGGGAGAAATTGTATGTACAGTTGCATTACAGGTGGTAACACAAAATGCAAGTAAAGGAGCAAGGCACTGACAAGCAATCCAACATAAGGGCTGTGGGGCCAAAAGTTTAAGAACCACTGAAAACATACATGTAACGTGCATCCTTTCAAAGTATGCAGAGCATTAGGAAAGGCAGACAAATATTCATATATGAATATTGACTTAAAAAGTCACTGGAAATACATGTAGCTATGAGTTAGTCATGGAAAGGGTATCATAAAAGGAATTGCTATATCGTAACAAGTTTCTACATGTAGATAATGAGATCATTTTCTGTCTGTCCACTTTTTTCTAACTGTGATGAACAATAGTACCGGATTGTTTTATTTTAGCTAATGATTTCATGATGGTCTGTGCTGCTAAGCATTTTGACAGTTTATGCTAGAAATATGTTTTACATGAATTTAACATGAATGAAAATACCAATGTCATGCACACATCATTAAAGATGAAGTTGAGTTCTGGTCATGCGATTGCATTGTGAAAGAAATGGTGTGGAATCGACCAGAAAAGGTTGATCATCTAGCATATAAGAATTTGTGTGTATTGCAAGGTTCTGGAATCATCAAAATGATAAGGAATTGGCCAAGTCTTGTTAAAGTTATACAAACACTGTACACAGAAAGATGTATATGGGACTACACGAACATGTGGCGCAAAAAACCTACCCCCCCCCCCCCCCCGAGTTTTACGATGTACATGACATATTTAGAATATGAAGGCATTTGAAGAGCCATGCTTTTCAGGGAACATGTCTTATCTGATGTTCTTCCATACTTGCATAATAAGAATGATAACGCTCACAAATTATTTTTCACCTCTTCCCAGAACTCAACCTTCTCTTTAAACAAGGAGTGGAGTAGTACTGAAACACATTGGCAACAGTTTTGGTAGTGTACTTGAAAACTATGCAGTGATGATGTACAGTGCAATACATGCTTCAATGCATACACTATAAATACACTGTGATAACTTACCCTTACAAATACAAAATCTATTTTGAATGTTTAAATGTGAAATTTTCTGTATTTAAACAGTTCTTTTCCTGTATTTAAAGTTTCTCTTGAATAACGTTGCCATTACAAACTTCACAGTCCTCTCTCTGCATCATACGATGAACTACAGGTGGATTTCAACAAAACAGAAGTACAGATATATACAATGTAAAACACAAAATTTATATTCCATGTTCTTTCCACTTAACTATTTTGTGAATCTTAGAAATGACCAAGTTTATTTTCCTTACTGAAGTGTATTCTTCCCTAAATAGGCTTCCTAAGGCATTGATTAGAATGCCATTTCCAAAAAAGAGCAGCTTCCTTATTGTCCAACTGTACTCATTTCAACCTGTAATGTTCTTGTAGCACTCAATATATGTATAAAGTACAGGTATATTCTAAATATTTCTTTGGAAATTCCTAATTGATATTTCCCTTGGCTTCCATATATTAGCATGCCTTTGTTATATGAGGAGGTCAAGTCAACAAATATAAAGAAGGGGGGTGGGGGGGGGGGGGGGGGGGGGGGGGGAGAGAGAAAATCTGTATGTTGCAATTGTCTCTGTCTTCTTTGACTAGACATTGCCTGAAATGTTTAAGAGATGAGGACAGAATTTTTTTCTGAACATCAAGACATTGAGACATGAGTGTGCATGTGAATGAATTTTGTTATCTTCACTCAGAAGCAAAGAACAAATTCTGTTCACCTTTTTCCTAAGTAGTGTCTGATTTAATCAATCTGCCTTCTCTTACTTTGTGCATGAAAACACTTTTAGGTTAGTGATAATTTATTACTTTATGATCATAGCTTCAGATAGGAAAGACCACATAACTTCATTGTAATTGGTTCCTATTTAATTATTATTCATCATTAATTGTGTTCTCATTTTCATCACAGATCAGTATCATAAATATGTAACAAGATATTTTAGAAAAGGATGCTTAGATATAACATTTATCTGCTGGCAGAAGAAATGAAGATGATCCAATGGATCAAAGGGGAATGTGTAAATGTTTCACGATCGACAGCTGTTGAATTGAAAGCCTTATAAGAGCACTGTATTATACAAATGACTTTCACTGTATGTTCTTAAGAAAGTATTGGGGATTTGAAAGTTTTAGCAGGTAATTCATTTTGTAGTCGTCTGTTGATATTAGTATTTCACGTGGAAAACTTTTGCTCAGATACCGTAATATTGCAAGGTATATAGTAGAAGCAAGACTTTACAAAACTCGTACACAATCGCTTGTTCTTTATTTATCATAACTTAAGGTTTGTTGATTTAGAACTCTTTGAAAACATCAGTACCATCATAGAACTATGTGTACATCTAAGGCATGAATGGGATATTCTTTCATGGCAAAGATAGAAATCTTTCTGTGTACTGTAGATTGTAGTTGTTAAACTGTAAAAGGAGGAGACATGGTATGTCTAAACAAAAGAGACATCCTGTGAGTTATACTATGTGTGTCTCCTTGCCTAGTCTTATAATCAGTTACAATTGATTCAAATCATTCACAACTTGATATCAATCGCAACTCTATTCTGAAAAGGTAAGAGTTTGCACGATTCGACTTGCTAGTAATCAGGATCAATCGCAACTTTTGTAAGACAGGGCCCTAATATGTTCATGCAATTTCGTTTTCTGGCAATGTTTTTTTTCTTTGCTGTGTTCTCGACAATGAAGAAGCATTAAGAGGAAGTTGTGCTCTTTATTTGTGCAATCATTCTTTGAAGTCTACATACATACCTGTTTCAAGTTGCAACATCACTTTTATCTGAACTGTTCTGAGCATGTACTTTCATTTCAAAGCATTAATTGTGAATAGAAGTAATGGAATATATGTCATGGGTGTGTATTCTTTATACTGTATCATACTTTCTTGCGTTGTTCAATTATGATATCTCTGTGTCATCACGCATCAACAGTAGGTATTTATGTTTTCTAGAGCAGTTACTTGGTGCTATTATAGGTACAGTAGTCTACTAAAAATAGGTGTAGTAAGTTTAAAGTCATACGTTGGATAATATCCATAATGAGTTACCCATTTCAAAGGTAAATAGCAGTGTTTCTATTGTGCGCACCCAACAGTATGAAAGAATGCAATTAACACTTTGTTTGCTCTCTATGCCTCTTCGCACAGTCGCTTGTTTGCCATATGTTCTATTTTGCGCAAAGCGATACGCACTGATTGACAGTATGATTGCTTTGTGCAACACAGTGGCTTTGAAAAATAACCCATTTACAGTCTTGATTACCTCCATGACAACCCTCTTAACACTGGTATAGATTGATCTTGCGCTGAAAACCAAAATATCAAAGCCTTTGGTATATCTGTCACTTGATCGGTACAATGTGACACACAGATATTATTTATGTGGCAGAAAAAGTTATCATTGAAATTCCCTCTATCTGATCATCTGTAGATTGCCTTACATCCCCTCCCCTTTTCTCTCATTTCATTTGATTTCCTTTTTTTCTTTGAGCTCTGGTTCTTTCACCTTGCATATCAGAGTCATGCATGCATTATCATGAATTTATCTTGCCATACGTGCGATTTCAGGTTTGAGCTTTTATTACATTTAAGGCCCAGTTCACTTTTTAGTGGTCTGTATATGAAAAAAAGAAATTCCCACCTTTATACATATGTGAAGAGCTTCAAAAAACTTCTTTTTTACCCTTGTGCTATGCACTGTAAAGATATTACACAAAATCTAACTCACTAATATATTTAGCATCAAATATATATGTGTGTTAAATTCCCAAAAGACATTTGGGAAATTTTCAGAACAATTTGAGGAAAATTGGAAAATGAAAATATTCATTATCCAACAAAACTCTTTGTGTGCTGTTTTCTATTTTGAAAATTAGGTAATTATGTCCTTAAAGGGAAAGTCCACCCCCAAAATAAGTTTGTTTCGATAGAGGCAGAATAACAAGAAAATCAGGTGAGTGAAAGTTTGAGCAAATTCTGAATGAAATAAGAAAGTTATGAATTATTGAAGTTGTGATCAATCAAATACAAATTGGCAACTCTGTGACTTATCATACGAGCTCTCCTTCATTTGCTTTGTGCATAATATTCCATAAAATCATGTTTTCTTCGTTATTGATGACGGAATATATATTCGTTCCTTGCAGGGGGAGTATAGAAACATATTTGCAATTATTATATTTAGGGTGCATGTATGGTTGAAATTTTTCTTGAGGGAAAATGAAAATTTTAGATTTTTTTAGTACTGAGCAAATGGAAGTTGAGCTCGCATGATACGTCATAGAGTTGCCAATTTGTGTTTGATTGATCACAACTTCAAAAATCCTAACTTCCTTATTTTTAATCGGAATTTGCTAAAACTTTCACTGACTTGTTTCTCTCATTTTTCTACTCCTATTAAAACTAACTTAATTTCAGGGTGGACTTCCCCTTTAAAATAGGGTATAAAGTAGGGTATACTTTTGGACGCTGTTATAAAATGAGGGCTGTATATAATGCATCATTTTATACTGCTGTTTATTAGAAGAATACGAACATGCTCATATTATATGTCCATGTTCTGTATTGATTGAGTACCTTTGATGCAAGATAGCAAACAAAGTTCATAAGACTATTAACTGCACTAACGAGATAGTAAGGTGTTGATAACTAAACTAAACCCACACAGCTTTGGTGCAAACCTACCAGAAATGTATAAGACAAGGTTAATATTCACTTACGTATAAACATAACTTAGCCATTTTATTTAAACTTGTACAAAATGTGTATTGTTAATTGTTATCATATAAATGTATTTATTTTTTATTTGTCTGAACTGTGTCTTAAGGAATTAGTTAATCTATTAAAAAAATTGAACAATGGTTTGTATGAATGACAAAAAAAAAATATTATAAAATCATACGTTCACATTTATGATTACTATATTTCTTTGCCATGCTTACTTTGTATTGGTTAATATACGTATGGAACAATATCGTGTAAAGCTTAAGTGGAATATATTGTATGTATAGTTATGATTTGAAAATACGTAGCAATCCACATGTATCTAAATAAATACATATCATTTGCAAGCAACAATGTTGTCTTTCTTGTAGTTGCATTCTACGTTTTATTTATTTATTTTTTGCAACGTTCTTTTAATGTGAAGAAAGACGAGAGCAAAAATCTGTACAAGATTTACGATGTCAAAGAGAAGCCCATGTGTGCAGAATATTTTGGCCAATGACTGGGGTAATGGTATATCTGTAAAGTGCTTATAGACATCATAGATTTAGGATAAAGCGCTATATAAAAATGGAATTATTATTAGTATTAATAACAAAACTAGCCTAACACTCCAGGGGGGTGTTTCACAAAGATTCTAAGTCGAACTTGACTCTAAGTTGGACTTAAAAAGTATGGAGAGCCATTTGTAGCCTTATAATGAAATATATTCAAAAGCAACAATTTTAGTATTTTAGACTTTTCATAAATTTCACATCAAGAACATGAAATCCCCCATGATTAAAGAAAATATGAATAATTTGAATCAACATTTTATGCCTTTTAAAAAATAACTTTCACAAACTATTTTCAAGAATGCTAATGGCTTCCCATAATTGTTAAGTCCAATTTACAGATAAGTTCAACATAGGATCTTTGTGAAACATGGCATCTGGTACTTTTGCCATGAAGCATATGACAAACATAAAAATAGACAATATCAATGAAAATGATCAATTTTGCAAATGTGATTTCACCATTTCTATGATAATTTCAAATGGCAATTGATATCAAGTCAGATATCCCCCTCCCCCCATTTGTTCCTACACACAAAGTGACTGAAATACTATTGTTTTAGTTTTTTTGCTTACCAGGATGTTTTTTTCTGGGGAGAATGCCTATTAAACTTGACATGTACAATATGTCCTAAGTGGCCAACAAAATTTCAAACTTAATATTAACATACACTTACATTTATAAATATAATGTTCTAACATTTGTAAATATCCTATTTTTCAAAATAACTTTTCCTAACCTTAACATGATTGTGCAGAGGTTGGATTTGGATTTCTCTTTCAATAAAAAATAAAAAATGTAGAATAAAAAGGTTTAAGCAAATCCTAAACACAAAGACAAATTTTAATCCGTAGGGTTATTTCAAGTTGGTTATTTATAAGGTAACCAAAATTTCAATTTACAATGAATAATAATCGTTAAAACAAATATCAATTTACATACATGTACATTTCATTATGAATGAAATGCACAAAAGTAGGAAAAAGTCTCACAAAATATTACTTCTAACAGAGCAACTTACTTTGCATGTTAGACTAGTACATGAATACATGTCACTTCCTCCTAGTATCCACTTTACATGCTGCTGGCAAAGGAAGCAGCATGTGTTCTTCAAAGACAGAACAGTGGTACTGAACCAAAGCCTCCAAATACCCAAAAGTGGCATTTACATTGCACTACATCTTGAATCAAAGTTCGGTGATGCATTTTAACATGACATTCAATCACCAATCTCGATCACCCCTTTAATGGTTTCATGATGTCTGGTAAGATGTGCTCAACAGATAGACAATGTGTGGTCTCGCATCACAACATCTCCCAACATGTAGTGTTTTTCAACTACTAGTAATATCACAATATACCTACTGCATTTTAGATATTGCCAATTAAATGCCAAACATATTGTACCCCTCAATCTTAACCTCATATGGTTAAGAATCTAAATACTGTGGTTAGTCATGACTGATACGACTGTATTTTCATTTGAGATTAGTAAAGGCCCAGCTTTGAGAGGCAAATGTACTGCATGACCATCATAATCATTTCAGATACTTCTCTAAAATAAAACAATAATCAACAATAAATAACCATGCATGGTCAACATTTCATAGAAAATTGTCCGAGTTCATTTTCCAAAAATCTTCAGCTAGCTTCAGGAAGACGGTATAACGTAGCTGACTCTTACTGCTGGGATCGTGTCACCATTAAAATGGCTGATCACTTCAAAGATACAATTTAATTTGGCCTGATCATCGATTGCTGAGAGTCCACTCAATATGACATGCTCCAGCACAATTTAATAATAAAACAAGTCCATCACAAAAGGCACAGCATTGGACTATCTTGATGCAGACTTCTTAGCACTAGCAATCAGCTCCCTTTCTTCAGTCTCTAAATGTTTCAGCTTCTCCTCATATTTTATCCGCATTCTTTGCCGAAGGCTCTCTAACTCTTGCCTCTGTGGAGTCAATAATAAACAACACACAAATAATGAGAAATAAATATATTTAAAGTGCTTTTACTTAACATGTTGAAGATGGTTTTATTTTCCGGTAATATGTATTTCTAATCTACTTATGTTATTTCGGGCTTCTTATCCAACAGGTTGAAAAAAAAATCATTTTGTGATAATGAAATGTGTTAATGCAGAATGAACATTATAATTTCCACACAAAAAAATAGTTTTTAAAAGAACGATTTGTTTGATTCATAAACCAGGGGAAAAGTATATTTCTAAAGAAAATAAAGAATTTAAATATATGAAACAGAAAGAAGACAATGAATTCATCAAGTGCCAACAAATTATGAAAATTAAAAATGTAAGCAGTAGTTTTCTGTCACTGAATTCTGTCTGCACAAGTATTTGACCCACTTGAAATAAGCATGACCTCTTAGAAGTCATACTTGGGATTTACATTTACAAGTAAAGTATGTATTGATATGCTTTTTGATGTAAATCATGTTTATTCAGGGCCTCATCGAAGACCACTACTTATTGGTGAATGGGCTACCCTGACAAAAGATTAGAAATAAATAAAATATGGAAAACGTAGCCCCATACACCACAAACACATGAAACAGAATTTCAATTATAGGTATAAGATTAAGAGCAAAGATCACTCCCATCCCCATTTTGGGGGGGGGGGGGGGGGGTCTTTCTCTCTTTCTTTCTTTTTTTCCTTCCATCCTTCCATACCCCCCCCCCCCCCCTCTCTCTCTCTCTCTCTCTCTCTCTTCTATTCAGAGATATGCATTGCCCATTGTCTATTGTCAAAGGATGTAAAATTGCTCCAGATGTCGACTCTACGCCATTTTGTAAAACTATTTATGTTTGGCTTACATGCATCTTGCTCTCGGGAGGGTACATCTCTTTCTGTAAACATGAAATATAAAAAAGCATTTACAGTATGATTTAAAAAACTTTGTCAAATATTATGCACATGTACGTTATATTGCAATACATGTACATCACATATCTTTTTTTTTTCTGTGCATAAATGTTGGAAATATATTATGCCATCAGCTCTCTGATTCAAGATGGATGTGACATACCGGTACAATGATAATTAAAAGTTTTGAACCAAAATGTACAGTCTCTTTACAAAGCGTTAATTATCATTTAGGATCTATTTAAAAAATAAAAAAAACATCAAACAAACAAAAGAGAATGATAATTTATTCTACAAGTTACGAAAAATTCATTGACTTTTAGCTAACTGATTTCCTGTATGCCATTACTATTCAGACTTTCATAAATTATCTTACTGTACAATCAATATTTTACAGATGCATGACAAATTTATGTTTGTCACTATTCATGGATACTCACAACTTTTTTTGAGACATAGGTTTCAAAGAGATCTGTCTGATTGAAGTAATAAAACATGGTCACAGGGAACATCACATAGATAGACATCTGAAAAAGAAGAAAAAATATTTAGTATATGTTTATATCCATACTGGAAATAAGTTAGTTTCACTTATAAAACAAATGGGCAAAAAATGAGATAAAAAATAAGAAAGATTAAGAAAGTTAATGCTTTGTTAAGTTGTTATAACTTATATACCTACTGGTAATGCTATTAGCAAGGTTCTCTATGATTATGTACAGACAATTAAATACATTTCCATCTTCATAGTTGTCGGGGAGGAAAAATATGTTATTCATAACATCAAACTTGATTCCAAAGAGGCCAGACACACAGGCCCGAATTCACAAAGGAGGTTTGTCGACTAACCTAGGTTTATGTGCGTCATATGATGCGTTTTGATGCGTTTCAGACCAAGGTTTGTCTGAACCTTGGTCTGAAACGCATCGAAACGCCTCATATGACGCACTTAAACCTAGAATTGTCGACAAACCTCCTTTGAAACGCATCGAAACGTGTCATATGACGCACATAAACCTTGGTTTGTCGACAAACCTCCTTTGTAAATTTGGGCCATCAAAGACAAAATATCTCAATTTTCTTTCACTGTTACACTAAAAGAACAGGGAAAATTTATTTCACATAGACTATTTCATGCAAGAATGCTGGTAGTAAGTTTCTCCTTCTGGACATTTCTTTTACGGGTCGTAGCTCTATTAAAGTATAAAGATGAACGTAATCAAACATTTTATAAATCCATTTTCATATTCATCACGTTCATCTACAAAAACATGGTCAAGAAACTTTGATTAGGGTCTAGGCCTATTTGAAGTTGAAGTGTAAACTAAAGTCATTAGTCACTGCCAATAAAAGTTAATTGATTGCATGCATCACTATCAAAATAAAGAGAGATTATTATATTTTTCTTCCAAAGCGCTAAAAATTACTACTCATGACTAAATTAATAAGCTGTGATACATGATACACGCTCAAAAGTTTGCAAAGAAATATAATTATGGTGATATAACGTGAATATTAGCACGTGGGACCACAATAACAAATTGGGGCATTTTATACTTCTAAATAGTTAATTACGGGGTAATCTATTAACGGAAAATAACAATATAGCACTGACATACCTTAACCACTTCCAGCTTCCACGTACCCATCTTGTACAATGTACTGAAATATCACATCAGCCAGAAAACGTCAGAAAAAATTGGAAAAGGAAGCGAAGACGGAAAGTGCAGTGTTGATTGCGAAACTTGTCATGTTCACACACCGCGCGTTCAATGATGTAATTCTCATGAACGGTAGGTCTGCACTAATTATATTTAAAAGTCTTTGGTCTGCACTCGCACGTGGGCTGTGCAGCGTTGTGTGAACGCGCAAGGCACGCATCCTCCTCCTCGGCCTCCGGCCTCTCCTCCCAGGGGCGGATCCACGTAGCGATTATTCCGGCCCTGCCCACCCCCCCCCCCCTAGCCCCCAAAACGATAAAAAAAATAGGATAATAACGTAAAGTTAACCTTTATAAAACAAAAAACAAAACTCCCCCCCCCCCCGCTTATTCGCCGGCCGGCTGAGTCGGCACTAAATTTTGTATTAAGATTTGGCTACCCCCCCCCCCCCTTGACGCCGTCTGGATCCTCTGCAGGCGCGGATCCACGGGGGGGGGGGGGGGGCTGACGGGTCAACAAAAAAAAGAATTAAAATTTTTTTTTTTTCCACGAATTAGGTGAAAAAAACAAAAATAGTGGTCTCACCTCACCTCCCCCCCCCCCCCCCCTCGCTCATTCACCGGCTGACTGAGTCGGCGCAAAATATTTCCTGAAAAATTGGACCCCCCAAAAAGTGCCTCCTACTGCCCCCCCCCCCCCCACCCCCCTCGCTTATTCACCGGTGGCTGAGTCGCAACTAATATTTTCTCACGGATTGGGCCCCCCCTCTTCCCGCCGGCTGGATCCACCACTGCCTCCTCCTCCTCCTCTTCATCATCATCATCATCATCATCATCATCATCATCATCCATTCTTTCATTCCTTCATTTATTCATTCATTCGTGTTTTGAGGGGTGTTTTTTTTTTAATTTTTAAATTCATTCTTTTTCCTTCGTTCGTAAGTTCAATCGTTTGCATCATTATTCATTCAGGCTTAATTGCTTCACCGATAAAGTTGGAATAAATTTTCTGACCACTTTTCATGACTTGATTGTGGCAATATGACTTATTCTTGATGAATATAGTTCATACCTTCTTGATCAATCTAAAGAATGAGAGGTTGATCTATTCATTTTCAGAAGATAAACGGTATATGGGCATATTTTTCGAGACTGTAAGTAATTGCACTTTGCCACAAACACTTCATGAACAAGGAAAAGAAACATTAATCCTCCTCCTCCTCCTCCTCATCATCATCAGCATCATCATCCTTATCATCCTCGTCATCAAACAGGTATTATACAGTGCGTCCCAGAAAAACGAAACCGAGAATTATCGATGTTTTATCATAACTTAATAACAATTATATTTAGATCATCCTCTTTCATTTGATGCAACTCATAATTATGATGCATATTTCACGCATGCGTGATTCAAAACAATTTGAAGAAAGGGTACAAAAAGTTATTTGGCGGACGGTATCTGAATTTAAAAGAAAAAATTCTTCCCTTTCATGAGACACCTCAATCAGGAAGAATGAGCTAGGAATAACAAAGTTCTGTTTGGTTAAATTAATGCTTGCATTTCCATAATTTTATCAAACGAATACGTTTTCACTGGCTGCCTGCCGTAGAAACAAACAACAAACTCTGATTCGTCAGTCATGCAGGAAGTCTTTTGTCTTCTTTGTTGTTACGGTAGACAGCCAGTAAAAACGAATTCGTTTAATAAAATTATGGAAATGCAAGCATTACTTTAACCAAACAGAAGTTTGTTATTTCTGGCTTATTTTTCCTGATTGAGATGTCAATATGAAAGGGCAGAAAATGAACCTTGTGGATATAGTGACTACCTTACTTTGAAAAGACAGGTAAAGTAGCTGTTGCAATTACGAGGACCTGGGTTCATATCTGTGTCGGACACCCCCCCCCCCCCCCCCCCCCCCAGTTTGAATGACGAAGGGCAACTCTTTAGTTCGACTGCAAGATGCATTGTGTGAATTCTCAAAAAAGTTTGACATTTTTAAAGGTTTTAGATAACCATCTTTCCGGGCACTGACTGTCTGAAGCAGAACGCCAATCTTACATGGTATTATACAAAAGCTACCGAATACTGAGAGGGTGGGGTCCTGCGATCTTTTTACTCGTCCTGTTATAGCTTTCCCTTTCTCACACTGTCCCACGCTCCCCGTAACTATACACCCTTCAAGAAGAGAAAGATGATTAAAACTTTAACTTTGACAACGAACTTTAACTTGAGAGTTTTAAGTTCGAAAAGGCAACAAGAACATTTCCTCAGCAGAGCAAGTGTTTTTAATGACTGACTGAAAATAGTTTGAAGATGAAAGGGTATATTATATAAAGAGAGAGAGAGAGAGAGAGAGAGAGAGACAGAGAAGGGGAGGGTGGGGGGGGGGGGGCATGTGAATGTGGTAAGGTGCGATGACAAATCGACTAAGGGACCACTGGACGAAATTATCATTTTCCAAACATTGAGTTAAAGGAACCGTATATAGCATTGTTAGGACTCCGTGGAGAGGCAAAGTGTAATTTTGATGTAGATCTCCAGGCCACCAGGCTGGCCAGCACTTTATGTCGTGGACACTGGCATACTGATGGCCCCCTGCGTACGCGCCTGCAGCCAAATACTCATAGTTTGGAGCAAATTTTACAGCTTCTGAAAAGAGTCCCAGAGTACTGATACTTTTTCTAATCAGTTTTGTGAGCCAGTCATTCATTCACTTACATTGTCGGTCTAAAACAACTGTTTATGAATCTACATTTTGATTTGCACAGGATACTGGTTAGAGCAATTATATCTCTGTGACTATAGATTATGTTTAATGCATTTGTACTAGTGATTAGAATGTTTTTATGCGGTTTTTTTTTATGGTCATTGGCCAAATTGCAAATGCACTTTCCATTTATTTATAAGTTACAATTTGAATATGTTACGGAAGAATTGAATAGCACAAGGGCTTGTTTGTTAGTTAACATAGGTGCTAAATGCCTAAATTACTCATTTTCATTCTCTGAAGAGCCTGTACTACACGAGACTCAAACCGATTCCACCCCGCTCTGTTTTTTGACATTTGAGGAAACGGTGACTTATTAGTGCGGTCTAGTGTCGGTCTATAATTATTATATAGTGTTGCTCTCGTCAGTGCGACTGAGATATTACATATATGTTATGAGTAATGTAAAGTATCTAGTATGAGTAGAGTTTCTTTTAAAATTTATTTCTTATTAATTCATTTTTTTTTTTAATTATTGGGTTTTTTTTAAATACAAAATTCAAATAATGCAGTATTTATTTTCATTCAAAGCCATAAACAGATGTACTGTAACAACCGGGAAATTAGTATGATCATTATTTTTGTTTCATCAAATAATCTTGAATGTAGTTGATTAAACTGTCCATGTATATCTACAGTTAAACCCGAGTTCTATATATTTTTCTTCATGTGTAGCATATTGATTTCGAAAGAGGGTGGGTATTCCAGAGCGTGAGAGAGAGAGAGAGAGAGAGAGAGGGGAAGAGAAGAGTAGTCAATGGTCGAGACGATGAGTGAGAATTCATAAGAAAGAGAAAGGGAAAGAGCATGTAAGAGAGGGAAAAGTAACAAACAGAATTAATATTATTTTGAGAACGAATAGAAAAAGATAGAGAGAGAGATATCAACATTCCCCGAGTTTAAGTTATGCGCGAGCAAAATTTTTGACAATTTCATCAAGGGGGGGGGGGGGGGGGGCTAAATCCACTTGCTAAAATATTAATTTTCTGGGTTCACAATTTCGCGAGCGACCGAAACAAGCGACCGAAAAATTGAGCATATGCATGTTGTGAAAGTTTCATTTATCCCCAAAATACGCGAGATAAGACATAAAAAATGCATATTCGGTCAGCTCGTAATTTGTAAAATTGCGGGGAAAGAGAGGCTGTACCCCGCACTAATTGCAAGAAATGAAATTTGAATCCCTGTGGAGTAAAACAAGAACCAGCTCTAGTTACAGCCATGATTACAATAAGAGACTGTCAAAATATATTTAACACTTTCTTTATATCTTTACATATTTTATATTCATGAATTACTTTATCACTCTCGTTCGCTTATAAAATACCGTTGTGCTGAGTTGTTCGCTACAACCATTATTGCAATGTGAACTTCCATTTATTTGGAAATCCAGAACAATTAAAGTTAAAGACCAGTATTGGAAACGCCCAAATTTCAAAAAATGAAATGGAAGCTCTCATTACCAATCATGTGAAAGAATATGTTTTGACTAATACATGATGATAAAAAATTTGCCGGGAAACCGCCTACTAATTCATATATTTGGTAAATTTGTTTCTCTCATGGACTGTGAGAGATATAGGGTAGTCCCATAAACATCTTTCTGTGTATAGTGCTTGTAACTTTACAAAGAATGGGCCAAATTTCTTATCATTTTGATGATTCCAGAACCTTGTAGTTGCTAGATGCTAGATAATCAACCTTTTCTGATCGATTCCACAACGTTTCTTTCACAATGCAATCGCATGACCATTACTGGTCTTTACCTTTAACTTGTGGTGCTCTATATGTGTTTCATGACTGTCATAATATATTAAACACTTTCTTTATATCTTGACATATTTATATTACTTTATCACTCTCGTTCGCTTACAAATACCAACGTGCTCATATTACTCCGTATTCATATGAATACAATATAAATATTTTTAACAAATCCGCATCACCACCACTGTTACATGCAGGACCCGCAGAACGTTTTTCAAAGTACAATCAGGTAGAGCGTAGCGAGCGAAGCGAGTGAAGCGTAGATTGGCGTGGGGTCCAGGGGGAAAACCCCAGCGGGGGGGGGGGGGGGGGGGGGGGGGTCAAGGGCGGACCCCTTGGAAGCTCAGGAGTTTTAGGAATTTAATTACGGTCAGATGAGCATATTTTGATACCTTATTTGTCACACAAGTAGGTCACTAATTAGCGTGGACTAAGCCCCATGATGCTCAGGGGTTTTAGGCATTTAATAATGGTAAGATGAGCATCCAGGGACCGACTTAGGGCCTCTGATGGGGTTGAGAGGGTGGAACCCC